ACTATCCAAAACAGGAATGGGGCTGTATTGGTTTGGTTGTGTCCCCACCTAAATCTCAACTTGAATTGTAGTCCCCAAAATTCCACGTGTCGTGGGAGGGGCTCTGGGTGGGAGGTGATTAAATCATGGGGTGGGTCTTTCCCATGTTGTTTCTCATAATAGTGAATAAGTCTCACGAGACCTGATGGTTTTATAAAGAGGGAGTTCGCCTACACAAACTCTCTTGCCTGCTGCCCTGTAAAATGTGGCTTTTTCTCTCCTTTGCCTTTCACCATGATTGTGAGTCCTCCCAGCCATGTGGAACTGTGAGTCCATTAAACTTCTTTCCAGCCAGGCGTGATAGCTCACACCTGTAATCCCAGCACTTTGGGAGGCTGAGGCGGGCAAATCACCTGAGTCAGGAGTTCGAGACAAGCCTGGCCAACATGGAGAAACCTGCCTCTACTAAAAAATTAGCTGGGCATGGTGGGTAGGTGCCTGTAATCCCACCTACTGGGGAGGCTAAGGCAGGAGAATCGCTTGAACCCAGGAGGTGAGATTGCACATAGCATACCAGCCATTGCACTCCAGTCTGGGCAACAAGAGTGAAACTCCTTCTCAAAAAAAAAAAAAAAAAAAAAAAAACCTCTTTCCCTTAAAACTACCCAGTCTCAGGTATGTCTTTATTAGCAGTGTGAGAATAGACTAATACAACTGCAAAAAACCACAACCTTGCCCAAAGGCCATCATAAACTTACACAAAAAATACTTTTGCAAGGACATCTGCCCAGCACCTGCTGTGTAACCTTGGGCTGGTGTCAGCCTTGTTACTGATCTGTGTAGCCAAGGATAATTATTTCAAAATAACTATGTAATCCTCCTCATTTTTCCTTTAAAACTTTTGTCTCCCTTTATCTCCTGAATACCATGTAATCCTCCTCATTTTTCCTTTAAAAACTTTTGTCTCCCTTTATCTCCCTGAATACACACATAGTTTACTATCACACACATTTTACCATTGCAATGTTCTGTTTCTAAATAAATACCTTTTCTTTTAGAAACCCTCTCTGTTATTTAGTTTGCATAAGTATGCTTAAAAAAAATAAAGAAGAGTAAGTTGCTGGAGAGTGATGAAGGGGGAAAAAAAAAAAGTCCTGCTATTTTAGGCAGGATGACCAGGTACAGTCTCTCTAATGAGTTCATTTGAGCAGAATCTGAATGAAGTGAGGAAGTGGGTGATGTGGATGTCTGAGGATGAAGCAATCCAAGCAGAGAGAAACGCAAAATGCAAAGGCTCACCCATTCCTCAGTATTCCAATCAGAAAAGGGACAAAGGTTTGCTTCCTCAAACAGAGGCTGAGGATGCTGAGGTCCAGAGAAAGGGGAGATGTGGGTAAATCCACACCATTTCACAGTCTAGACAGAAGCAAGGCAAACAAACAAACAAAAAAAACGTAGATCTGGCTGCAGTCCCACCTACTCCATCAGTGCTCTGGTTCTGAATGTTTGTGTGTCTCCAAAATTCTTATGTTGGAAATCTAACTGTCAAGGTAATGGTAATAGAAAGTGGGGTCTTTGGGAGGTAAGTAGGTCACAAGGGCCAGGCCCTCATAATGAGATTACCGCGCTTATAAATCAGGCCCCAGGGAGCTCCTCTGCCCCTTCTGCCATGTGGGACACAGCAGGAGGACACCATCCGTGAATCTGTCTATGGAACCCAATCTGCTGGCACCTTGATCTTGGACTTCCCAGCCTCCAGAACCATAAGAAATAAATTTTTGTTGTTTATAAGCCACCCAGTCCATGGTATTTTGTTAAGCTGCCTGAATGGACCGAGGCAGTCAGCTAGTGTTAAGAACTAAGCTGTAGCAGCCTTCCTGTTTTCTCAGACCCACATTTCTCTGTGAAGATCCTGCTACTGTTTTCTATAAGATGGGATTTGGATTCTGTGCATCTCTGAACATGGCAGCAGGAAACTTTGAAAGTGGTCTTATTTATGCAAAGCAACACCATTCTCCACCTACACTGTGCCTGTGAGTGGGCAGCCGGCAAAACAAAGCCGAGGCCCTGCGCTTTACACACAAAGTACCCATTACCCTCCCACTACATTTTTTTTTGGAAAGGCTTTAGCTAAATTACAAGCCACTTTACAGTCTGAGTACGCCTCATTGTAGTGTGTATATTATACTTAGCCATAAAATGTCTTAAGGTTTCTTGAGTTGGAAATAGGTATAACATTACAGTCCATTATTATTATAAATTTCTCTTCATTACTCTTTGTTATATTTCTTAGCTCTAACCAAAATAATTCTTACTCTGCTGACTGTTTACAACCTTCAACTGTAAAGTGGATGGTCCCAGAGTTCTTCCAGATCATCATTTACTGAGCTCTACCTATTCAGCTCTTTTAATCTTTCTTCATAAATCAGGTTGTCCTTCTCCATCATTCTTCTTGCATTTCCCCTCACGCTCACCCCATTTGTCTGTACCTGGCTGGTAATTAGGTGCTCAGAGCTGAGCACAGCCTTCCAGGTGGGGTCTCAGCAGAGTCGTCTGTTTCTCCAAGTGTTGCTTAGCGGATCCATTTCCATTTCCTCCTGGGCCCCACATTTCACTCCAGACAGAGCTGAGCTGAAGAGGGCACAAAGGAGAACAACACAGACATTACCCAGACCCAGCAAATGGGTCCTGGGAGGAAGATACAAAGCTGGGCCATGTTCTATTTAGGGCCCAGAAGCAGTCACAGGAAGAGATGCTATGAAGAGGGCAGGGATTAATTTTTTACTCCATCTTTCAGTGACAACAAGAGAACAGGTGTTATGTGGCAGCAGAGACATTTTGTCTTAAATGTTATGAAAACCTGCATGGTGCTAAGCTTTCTAGGATTTCTTTCCTTCCAGAAGTCACTAAAAGCCTACTCTACAGTAAGGTGACAGACAAGGTGGAGCCTCCTATTCCAGGAGGATGCTGAAGGCACGACCCAGCAACTTGCTCTTTCCTGCCCACATTCCCTCACCTCTGACAGGCTCCTTCTCTCTCCCAAGTCACAGAAAGGGACTCTTGCCTAGCTCTCACCCACAGTAACCCGGAATTAATTCATTTTCTCGTCAGCAGGTTTATGGAAGAGGAGAAAACCACAAAAGTAGATAGCTTGTATGGGTTCTTATGAATCAGCCACACCTCTCTGGCAATTTTGTTATAAGCTCAGTTTTTGCTCTTCTCGTATGCCTACTCCATCCTTGAACATAACATTCTCCTAAAGCAGGCATCTGACAGACACTTGGGAGATGGCCCCAAACAGTAGATTCTCATGTTTTTAAGCCAGAAAGCCCTGGGCTGCTTGGCTGGCGCTCCCATCGGCTGGGTGATTTGAGGTGGGTAATTTAACCATTCTGGGCCTCAGCTTACTCATATATATGATGTCTCATGGGGGCTTTTGTCCACTGTGAGACATAAGCAGAGCCCCTGGTACATAACAGATATTTAGACAATGTTAATTTTTGTTTGAGCGGGGGATGGAGTCTTGCTGTCTCACTCTGTTGCCCAGGTTGGAGTGCAGTGACGTGATCTTGGCTCACTGTAACCTCTAACTCCTTGGTTCAAGCAATTCTCCTGCCTCAACCTCCTGAGTAGCTGGGATTACAGGCACACTCCACCACGCCCAGCTGATTTTTGTATTTTTAGTAGAGACAGGGTTTCACTATGTTGGCCAGGATGGTCTCGATCTCCTGACCTCGTGATTCCCTTGCCTTGGCCTCCCAAAGTGCTGGGATTACAGGCGTGAGCCACCGAACCCGGCCTAGACAATGTTACTTTTTCTCCCATGGAGGCAAAATCCATAAAGGTGGCTGGCTCTAGTAGACCACACAATCTCTCATGCTTACAAAATGTCTGTAATCATTTCTACTTAGGGAAAGTTAGCGTTTGGAGAGAAAAATTCAAATAATGCAATTTGTCTAATCCATTAGCGAGACAGCATAGAAGTTCCTAACCTAGCTTTGATCTGCAATTTGGAGGAAGGAGTTTCCAAATACTTGAGGGATCGTTTCTTCCCCTTAATATGATGCTGGAATTTAACTCCCATTAACCATAACAGGCATAATAAGTCGGCAGCCACGGGAAAATACCCTCTAGTGCTTAATGAACACAAAATAAAACATTGCCTTTTATCTTCAACATCTACCAGGGTAATTTGAATAATGATATTCATATTCATGATGCATACGACCCTTCCATCAGCTCAGCATTGTCATTAAGGCTCCCACGGAATGCCAATAAGTAAGCAGAGATCTTTCTGATGATGTGGGAGTATGGAAGACTACTGCAGATGAATCATTGCATCTCAGCTCAATGAGGCAGATAAAAGGCAAAGGACATTGCACACTAGCTGCATCTTTCCATCTGAACCCATGGAATTGGGAGGCCTTGAAGTGATAACCTCCAAGTAGTTCACAAATCACCTTTAACAGAGCAGAGCTACTACCACCTGATGGATGACAACAGGGCAGTGGCAATAATGAAGACAGTGTTAGTTCATTCTTGCATTGCTATAAAGGAATACATGAGGCTGGGTAATTTATAAAGAAAAGACGTTTATGGCTGGGCACGGTGGCTCACGCCCATAATCCCAGCACTTTGGTAGGCTGAGGCAGGCAGATCACTTGACGTCAGGAGTTAGAGACCAGCTTGGCCAACATGTTGAAACCCCTTGTCTACTAAAAATACAAAACATTAGCTGGACGTGATGGCATATGCCTGTAAGTCCAGCTACTGGGGAGGCTGAAGCATGAGAATTGCTTGAACTCAGGAGGCAGAGGTTGCAGTAAGCTGAGATCATGCCACTGCACTCTAGCCTGGTTGGTAAAGTGAGACTCTGTCTCAAAACAAAACAAAACAAAACAAAAAGAGGCGTAATTGGCTCATAGTTCTGTAGGCTATACAAGAAGCATGGTGCTGGCATCTGCTTGGCTTCTGGTGAGGCCTCAGGGAGTTTGTATTCATGGTGGAAGGTAAAGGCAGAGCAGGCATACACATAGTGAAAGCAGCAGCAAGAGAAGGGGAGGCTCTATACTCCTTTAATCAACAAGATCACACATGAACTCAGAGCGAGAACTCACTCATTATCCCAAGGACACCACCAAGCTATTCATGAGGGTTCTGGCTCCATGACCCAAACACCTCCCACCAGGCCCCACCGTCAACACTGGGAGTTACATTTCGACATGAGATTTGCAGAGGACAAACGTCCAAACCATATCAAAGACCTTTCCACCAAACACGAGGTTCTGCAATTTGCCCAACTGGGACTAGACAGGACAGACGTAGGAATTTGAAAAGGAGCGGGGATGTGCAGGGGGAGGTGGGTGCAAGGGTTCAGGCTGTATTATAGTACCAAATTGGACATGAGAAAATCTCTATAGGGAAGCCATCTCTATCTTTTGTTATATCTATGAGTTCCTTGAGGCAAAAGACTATGTCCTATGTATTACATATTTCTATTTCCACCTCTTAGCACAGGGCTTGGTGCATAGAGGGCTAACAATTTCAAAGCATTCATTATGCACCAGGCCCTGGGTTAAGCATTTTACATTACACAATCTTATTCATTTCTCACTATGAATCTATGAGGGAGGCAGGTAGTATTATTTCCTTTTTACAGATTAAGAACTTGAGTTTGGTTTAGAAAATTCTAAAAAATTGCTCAAGGTCTACTAGTAAATGTTAGAACTGAGACTTGAACCAAGGTCTGTCTGGCGCCATAACCTGCAATCTGATGTACCATAAAACGCTGACTTCACAGCATTGGCGTCAAGGATGGGGTCAGCACAGGCAAAGGATGTGTGACTTTTCTACATGAGTCTGTGGGCACAGAGAGCAATACAAGGATGAATTTAGTCTAGAGGACTTTGCGTGGTTTTACAGCAGGGGTTGGAAAAGTGCTTCTTTAAAAGGCCAGATAGCAAAGATTTTAGGTTTTTTTTTTTTTTTTTTTGAGACGGAGTCTCGCTCTGTCGCCCAGGCTGGAGTGCAGTGGCCGGATCTCAGCTCACTGCAAGCTCCGCCTCCCGGGTTCCCGCCATTCTCCTGGCTCAGCCTCCGGAGTAGCTGGGACTACAGGCGCCCGCCACCGCACCTGGCTAATTTTTTGTATTTTTTAGTGGAGACGGGGTTTCACCATATTAGCCAGAATGGTCTCGATCTTCTGACCTCGTGATCCGCCCGTCTCGGCCTCCCAAAGTGCTGGGATTACAGGCTTGAGCCACCGCGCCCGGCCCGTAGATTTTAGGCTTTCTTACAACTTCTCAACTCTGCTGTTGCAGCACAAAAGCCAGCCATAGAAAATATGTAAATCAATGGGCGTGCCCGGGGTCCCATAAAACTTTATTTACAAAAACAGACAGCGGGTGCATTTGTGCTGTCTGTCTCCGTGATTTTCCAGTCCCTTCTCTGTAGCATCTTGCCCACAAATATCAATGTCTACATTAAGTTGGGGAAGAGGTAGACCCCCAAAGCAGACAGTGTGTAATTTGCCACTCTATCAGTCAGGGTCCCAAAAGGAAACAGATGACATATTCAAAAGATTAATTAGACACAGTTGTATGAAGGGGCTGGCTATGGAAATGTGCACAGGGTTAAGAATAAAGGATGGTTAAACCTCCAGAGGCTAGCAACAGTACAACCCTAGGCCTGAAGGGACAAAGAGAGGGAACCTGGCATGAGTTATATTCATGGGAGAGGATTTTCCTATCAGGAATTATGGTCCTAGGTAGAAAGATGCTGCCATTGCCAGAACCATCGCCCATGGGGACAAGTAGCAGGGGCAAGAAAGACCTTGAGTTCTCTCTCTTCCTGCCCTCTGATCTCTTGACTGGTACCGGGGTGGCATGTTCCGTAGAGATGGGACTCTCAGGGCTCAAAACAGGACAGAAGAGGGTGGAAAATGAATCTGGAGGGACAATGGAGAATAACCTGTATAGTTTTCTATGACAAAGTTAAGCATTGCTGTTTTGTTGAGCTGCTGAATAGTTTTTATGAATCAACCAATGTTCTTCTGAACCTTCTTTTCACCACCTTTTTGGGCCAAGACACTAAAGAAGGGCCATTTTCTGGACAAACTAGTAGCAGCCCTTCAGAGAGTAGCTCTTTTCAGAGAATAACCTCACAGTTCTCTGTCCAGTTTTGTTGGAAAGATTCATCATGCACAACTGCCCAACTGTCCCTTGTCCCGTTTGCTGAGTGCAACTTTCAGCTATGCCAAACCAAGTAAAAACTGAACAATCAATACTGATTCAATGAATACTGACAGAGAGTTAATAGTTAAAATAATAATGTTAATAAAATAATGCTAATAAAAATGCTAATAAAAGTTAATAATGCTAATAAAACAATGTTGGAAAATCATCATCTCTCAATGTTGGCATAATGGATAATTTTTATGTCTTTTCTTGATTTTTTAAGCATTTCCCTTTTATTCTGTGGTAAACAGCAGAAAACATCCAAAAATGTGAAGAAGAAGGAGAGGAGGAGAAGAGGTGGGGAGGGGAGAGACAAATATCTAATAGCACACTCTGTTGTTCTAGTGGATGTCAATGTTTGCACCTCCAGGCTCTCCCAAGGATATCTTACTGCTGACCCACGTAGAGTCATTCATTCATTTAGCAAGTGTCTATTGAGCATACATTATGAACCAATATTATTCTAGGCACTAGGTTTCCAGTGCTGAAAAAATAGCTCAACCCTGGCTACATGGAACCAACAGAGCAAGAAATAGATGAATAAGTCCCAGGGTCCTTATTTACCCCCATGGCCTCTCCAACTGAGATATGCTGAATACCCAAGAGGATATGTGCTGTGAGAGTGGTAGGAAAAGGAAGCTGTAAGAACACAGAGAGGGGCTCCTAGCCCAGTCAGGATTCATGGAAAGGTTCTTGGAGGATGCAACGCCTGAACTTATATTGGGAGATATGTAAAATTGATCCAGGAGGCGAGAGTAGAAAGGAAGTCCAGGCAGAGGAAATAGCACAAGCAGATGCACAGAGGAACAAGAAATTCTAATCTATCAGTGTCAAAAGTAATGCAAGAAGCGGAGGTAGACGGCTCCAGAGCAGCACCGTCCGGTAGAACTTTCTGCAATGATGGCAACATTCTGTAAATCAGCACTGCCAAAGGAGAAGGTGTGTAGAATGGACAAGTCTAGATATCTAATGTGCAACATGAGGACTATAGGTAATAAAATTTATTGTATGTGAGATTTGTGATAAATGAGTAGATTTTAGCTGCTGTTGCCCCAAGAACAAAAAAAGCACAGGTATGTTAAGTTGCTTCACTATCACAATCTTTTAACTATCTAAATATGCCCCATAACATCACGTTTTATAACTTAAATCTACACAGTAAAACACACTAATATGGTAGCCACTAGCCACGTGTGACTATTGAGTACTTAAAATGTGGCTAATTTGAGTAAAAAATCAAATTTTTCGTTTTCTTTAACTTCACATATTTTAAATGTAAATAGTCGGATGGGGCTAGTAGCTACCAAACTGGACGATGCAATTTGAGAAGAAAAGGTTGGGGAAGAGACTTCACGTCAAGAGGATTGAATATCGGATGCCGCACTTCCATTCAGAATTTAGCCTTGGATTCTCTGGACCATGGGAAGCCACTGAAGAGTGTGAGTCTGGAAGTGACAGTCAGATTTGGGTTTGTAGTGAATTGCAGCATCGTGGAAGATACACAAAGCACAGGGTGCTGTCAAAGCTCATAAAAGGGAACCCTAACTCAAGATGAGCTTGGAAGACTTCCTGGAGGAGGAGGACACACCTGGGCAGAATTTGGAAAAATGAGCTGACATTTGTCAGGTGGCCCTACAGAGAGGGCATCGGATATAGAGACAGGAACAGGTGCAAAGCATCAGAGCAGGACCACGCGGCCATGCTCAGGGACGTCCATGTGCAGGAGGTGGAGGGCTGTGGAATGAGACTGGGAAGTTAGGGTGTGAAGGGCCCCGGACACAAGTTTGGAATTTCTTTTTCTGTAAAGATATAAGAGATTCACGAAGGCTTTTAAACAGAAAAGTGTATCTTATGTGTGTGACCTTGGGTTAACTATCAACCTCTCTGAGCTTCTCTTTCATTTTTTTGAAAATTGCGAATTGTGGATGATGACACCTGCTTTGGGGATCTGTGTAAGAGCCAGTATGTTGCCTGCAGCAGAGTAACTGCAGGATAAAAAGTTGCCTAGGGTTCTCCCAGCTGCCTTGTGAAAACTTAGCACCCTGGGGGCGGGCATGCCGACCCTTCCCTTTCCTAGCTGTCACCACTATAGGATTGATGACTCCAACTTCCTTGAGACTCCATCTAAAACAAACAAACAAATAAACAAACAAACTGCACTTGAACAAACCCCGTTGCCATGTCATCGGAAACTTTGGGAGACATTCTTTCTAGGAAACAAGTTTTCCTTATGTTAGGGGGTGGGCAGGAATATAAAGCCTTCTTTGCTTTGCATTCCTTCGACCACTCCTCATTACCACTCACATAAGCCATCTGCCATGGTTGAAAAGTAAAGAGATATGAAGGATCTCGGATGAAATCTGATCCTGAACAAGCAGGCTTCCTGTATCCTGACCTTTGTGAGGTTATGTTGTGGACATTGGACTGGAACTTGAAAAGCCTGTAATTCAGTTTTCTTCTCTATCCTGTTAGAACTTGTTGAAATACCATGAGGGCAAAATGGAAGGGAAACTACTTGCCACTAACAGCTTTGGAGACGTAGACTTTAGCACTGCAAAAAAAATAAGCCTGGAAGAATGAACTCCTGGGACAAACTCACAGTGGAAAAGCGCATGGACTCCACGTCAGACGCTGTGGTCCACATCCTGCTCGGCCACCAGCTGCCTGGAGCCTGTTCTTTAACCTCTCTGAACTCGATTTCCTTATCTGTGTCTGTAAAATGAAAATAAAATAATACACCTCTCCCATAGGGCTGTGGCAAAGTAATATATGAGATACTGTAATGAAAAACATCTGGCAAAATACCAGGCACGGGATTGCTGTTCGATATATGTCAATTACCTTAAAGAACACTGACATATATAGTAATGGCGTTTGTTCATTTGACAAGTATATATTGAGTGCCACTATGTGCCAGGCACTGTTCTAGGTGCTGGAGATTCACACAAAGTCTCCGGCTTCCTGGAGTTTACTACTGAGTGGAAGAGACAGGCAATAAAAACGAAAATATAGAAAGATAATTGATATCCTGTTAAGTAATGGTAAAACAAAGAAAATAAAGCAGAGTAAGTTAAAACATAGTGTCAGGGGATGCTATTTTAGATAAGGTGGTCAAAAAAGATCTCTGTGAGAAAGTAACATAAAAGTACAGAACTAAATGAAAGGAAGGAGAGAGCCATGGATACACGTCAGGAGAGAGTGTTCCAGGCTGAGGAAATGGCCCGGGCAGAGACGCTGGGGCAGGAATGAGCTCAGTATGCTGCAAGGGGCCCAGCATGGCTGGAGGGCAGATTGCACAGGCAAGAGTGGGCAGATGAGTAGGAGAAAGGTACCAGGCGCCAGGTCACAAACTGGAGTATTTTGAAAAGTCTTAGTGGTTTCATCTGTGTTTATCTTGCCTCTCTGATGAAACTGAAAGCCTCTAGGATCAGTGGAGTAGGGTAGTTATGACTATGGTTTTGAGAATCAGACAGATCTGGGTGTTAGCCAAACTCCCAACTTAATAGCGCCTTGGAAAGGCTCTTAATTTCTTTGAGCCTCAATTTCCTCATCTATGAAATGAATATTATAATAGTGCCCATCTCACTATATTTTTATGAAGACTAAATGAGATAACTGGAATAAAATTCCTGGCATCGTGTAATTGCTCCATACATCAGATATTACTGAGGGCAAGGGGAACATGCTCTGAGCTTTTCTTTTGCCTATCAATAAATACACATTAATCTCTTACCATGTGCAAGCACCGTGATGGATAATCCCATACTTCCTAGTGTCATGTTGGCCACATAACTAGGCTCTTCACTAATTTTTTGTAGACTTACAAAATAGCAGTAACTTTTAAATCTAGCAATCAGCTGACTGACGACTCCATTCAGAACCCAAGAGCCAGGAGGAAAACAAAATATGTCTTGGAATTCCCAAAACACCTGTCAGAAAGATTATGCACTAAAGCTACAAACTTGAATCATGGAGAGGCCTCCATTCCCTACTCGTTTTTAAACCCAATCTTAATGGCGCAGTTGGGTTTCTCAAGCCGCAGAGAGTTAGAGGGGGACAGCGGCCAAGGGCAACATACTGAATTTAAAAAGAGCAACAGTGTGAAAGAAGACAAAAATAAAAGCTATAAAAAGCAGAAAGAAAGACTCAAGGAATATAGGAATCTATTTATTCCTTTGTTCCTTTAATCATTCATTCACTCAACACGTATTTATGGGTGACTATTGTAGGCTAGGCACTATCCTGAGGAGCTGGGTACATAGAAGTGACAAGAACATATCCTTGCCTTCACAGAGGCACCCTGGCTCATACACAAGGGTGTGGTGGGGGCAGACAAGCAAGAAATGATTTCAATACAATATGTTAAGAGGCCAAGGGGGAGTACAGGACACTAGAGGGCACTGGAGGAGCATTGATCAGTCTTAGGTATCAGACGACTTCCTGGAGGAAATGGGGGCTATTTCATACGAGGGTTCTCAGACCATGGTTCACCCAGTGGCTCAGTGAGAATCAGCACATTGCAATAGGGGATGCTCAAAACCATGGCGTTGAGCGCACAAATGAGGATAGCCCACATTCAATGTATCATACTTGATAAAGCAGGGGATTGCATGAAGACTTCCATTCAAAAGTACTTTAGTACAAAAAATTTCAGTTCTAAAGTCAGTATGTTATCTTGAAGTTCTTGGTTAGTTGGAATGAGTTATTTCCTAATGATACTGGATCTGTGAGGAATTACTGTAGACTGTACTTTTCAGACAATATATAAAGTATACTATAATAACATTTTATATTATACTTACGTATTAAACAAAATATCCGCTTTGGTGTTATCTGTATTTGGGGTTTGGATTTTTTTTAAACTATCTGGTTATAGGGAGAAGATTTGGAAAGAAGAATCCTTAGCTACAGGAGTTCTTTGAAAGCTTGTACTATCAATGCTACAGTTACGAATCTAAAGCATTAGATTTGTCCGTTAATCTAAGTTTCATAGCCAAGCAAGGGCCAGTTGTCCATGTATTTAGTTTACTCAAAAATACGTACCATGATATTCAATGCAGTGCTGGCTGTTACAGCAAAAGATGGGAACCAACCTAAAGATCCAATAACAGAATCAGTTAAATAAAAGAGGTATAATCATAAGTAGAGTATTATATAGTCATTAAAAAGAACAGCACACTACTAATATAAGTATTCTCCAACATCTATTTTTAAGGAAAAAAACAGCACGTGAGTGAAAAAACTACATATTTTGTAGAAAATGGAAGAATGTACAAAACACTGGTTGCTTCAAAGTGGGAGCAGTGGCTTACTGGGGCTCAGGAGAGGGAAGGAAAATTATTTTACACTGGTATCCTCTAGGCCTTTTGAATTTTGTACCATGTAACCAATCCCAAAAGTAATATATCGGAGTAAGCTGGTGGAGTGACTGAGTTGGTGTCAAATGAGGGTATTAAAGAGCTGGCTCATCCTTTTCCTGGCCCTGTCACTTAGGACAGGATCGGGGGCATAAGCCAGCAGCCTAGAGAAGAAATCTGGCTCAAAGATTGGTGTATGCCATGTATTAACAATGTGAATTTGAAGGACTTAAAGAGACATTTCTCCAAAGAAGATATACAAATATGCAAATGACCAATACACACATGGAAAGTTGCTCAACATCACTAATTGTTAGGGAAATGCAAATCAAAACCAGAATGAGATATACCACCTCGCACTCACTAGAATGGTCACTATACAAAAAACAGAACATAGTGAGTACTAGCAAGGACATGGAGAAATTGGAACCCTGTGCAGTGTTGGTAGAAATATAAAATGGTGCAGCCACTGTGGAAAACAGTATGGAGGTTCCTCAAAAAATTAAATGTGGAACTATCATATGATCCAGGAATTTCACTTCTAGGTCTATCCCCAAAATAACTGAAAGGGTTTCAAAGAGACATTTGTACCCCTGTGTTCATAGCAGCATTATTCACAATAGCTAAAAGGTAGAGCAACCCAAGGGTCAAAGGCTTAGTCTAGAGGGGGAGACCAACATGAAAACAGGTAACTACAGTGCAACATGATTAATGGATTAGTGGGGGTATGGAGGAGTGCTGGAGTTATAGAGAAGGGAGCCATGAATGGTTCATTGAAAAGCAGCCAGGAGCAGTAGCTCATCCCTGTAATCCCTGCATTTTGGGAGACTGAGGCAGGTGGATCACCTGAGGTCAGGAGTTTGAAATCAGCCTGACCAACATGGTGAAACCCCTTATCTACTAAAAATATTATATATATATTTATACATATATTTATATCTGCCAGACGTGCTGGCAGGCACCTGTAATCCCAGCTACTCAGGAGGCCAAGGCAGGAGAATGGCTTGAACTTTGGAGGCAGAGGTTGCAGTGAGCCAAGATCGCACCATTACACTCCAGCCTGGGCAACAAGAGCAAAACTCCCCCTCCAAAAACAAAGAAAAGAGGAAAGAAAAGCTACACACAGAAAAGTGACATCTTAGTATGGCACCTTCCTCCTGCACAACGTAGAGGTATCTACTCACTCTACTGTCCTCTCTGGCCACTGTAAAAGGATGAACAGGAGTTGGCTAAAGAGAAAAGGATAGTCCAAGCAGACAGAACAGCATATGCACAGGTAGGAATTTTGAAAGTTACTGTAAACTCAGAGAAGAGAGTGAGTTTATGTGAGTGGAGCCCAGGTAGCTCTAGGGAGAATGACACAAGAGAAAACCAAAGAGGTAAACTGAAGCTTGACTGTGATGTTTATATGCCTTCTACTAAGTGTGACTTTTACACAAGGAATCAAGGAACACTGTATATAGCTAGACTTCAAAGACGTTCCTCCCACACAGACACAACTGATGATTGTGTTACTTTTCTCCCACAGTGAATCAAGCTTGGTCCTACAGAATCAATAGGGTGTGGCACAAGTGGCACTGTGTGACTTCAGAGGCCACCACGGCTTCCGCCTTAATATCTTGGAATGTTTGTTCTAGGTGAAATAAGTTACCATTTAAGAATTCCAACTATCTTGAATCCACCATGTTGTGAGCAAGCACGGCCTAAGAGACACCATGTTAAGAGACTTGCTCCTGCCATCTCGGGGATCAACCTTTTTGAGCCTTCAGTGAACTCCAGCCCCAGCCCACATCTGACTGTAACTGCATGAGAATCCAAACAGAGGACAGAGTAGCTGTGTGCTGGGCATGGTCAACACACAGAACCTGAGTGAGAAATACAGTGTTTGGGTTTTTCTCTTTGTTTGTTTTGCTCTGAATCACTACAGTTTGGGGTGGTTTGTTATGTTGTACTACACAACTGGAATAGCAATGAGACATGAAGATTTGGGGTTTTTGGAATCAGCCTGGAGGCAGCAGGAAGGATGGGTTAAAGAACACAGAGGCTGAAGGTATCAAGATGTTAGGAGGCCTTTACAGGAGGAGAAGTGGATGTCAATGGGAATGGAAAAGAAAGGCTGGAATCTAGAGATACTTGTGAGGTGGAACCGACGGGATATAAAGAGCAAATACATGTGCAGTGGAAAAAAGAGGAAGACGTAAATCTTTCAGGTTTTTCCCAAAGAGAAGAAGTAGAGTACAGTGTTCTTAATAGAAATAAAGGCCTATTAGGGAGGGTAGGTAATGAAATGTGTATGCCCTGATGGTGAGGGGTTTACAGGGAAATATTAGTGAACATTCCAAAGGCGCTGGAAATTTTGGTTGAGGACACAGGGAGATGGGGGCTGTACATACACATACACATAGGATCACTGTTCCGTATGGCAATGGTGGAAGTTCCACAGGTGAAATTGCCAAGAGAACATGTGCAGGGCAATAAGAGGAGGGAATAAATGATGGAACTCTGAAAGGGGAACCCAGCGGTCAGAGGAGGAGAGCCCATTAAGGAAACTGGCAAGGGTAAGTCAGAGAAGTCAGAAGAGAAACAGGAGACTCATGTCTTATAAACAGAGGGACAAGAGAATGTCCAGAAATAATGGGTTTTCATTGTAAAAAGTAAGGTGAGACTGTGGTATATGGTGTTGACAATTAAAAAGTCATTATGGCTCTAAACAGGACTACTTTTAATATCCTGACATTGATCAGAGTACTTTAAGAAGCTGATTGGAGGTTTAACAAGTAAAGATTACAAATATAGATTACTCTTTAAAGACAGTTGATGGTAAAATGAGGGAGGAAGAAAGATAAGTTAGTTTCTTTGAGCATGATTTTGGTCTGAGGACGGGTTTGCTAGCAAAAGCTCTCTGAGCAAATCAGAGGGGAGGATAGAGAGGTCTTCAGAGTTAACGATTTTACAGGCTTCTGCTCTCCAACTGCGGTCAACAGGTCAGTAGCATCAGCATCACCCGGGAGCTTCTTAGAAATGCAGAATCTCAGGCCACGCTGCAGGCCTAGTGAATCAGATTCTGCATTTTAATAAGATTCCCAGGTGATTAACATGCACATTAAATTACTCACTGCAGTAGGTCAAGACAGAAATGTGAAGGAAGGAAGGAAGATACAGAACTCATGTAGATACTACAGTACTCAGGCCATTTTTTCTTGTTCAATCACTTAGGCATGCTTTGGTTTTTATCTGAGATGTAATGAGAAATGTTTAGAACATCCTTTAAGGGCTTCCAAATTCTTGGCATATATGGAAAATGAAGGTCTGTGTGAAGAGAAATCTCCTCTAATGAAATCCAGATGAAAATCCAGATCAGCCTTCCTCTTGGTAGGATTATCTATAGTGAAGGTGGAGATAGTATCATTGCTTCAGCCTCACTCCCAGATAGTCTGCTTTATTTGGTCTGAAGTAGAACTGGCACTACTATATACCTGTATATATACCAGTTATATATATATGTGTGTGTGTGTATATATATGTATATATGAATATAACCGGTATATACACGTGTGTGTGTATATATATAATTGGTGTGTGTGTATATATATGTGTTTGTGTGTATGTGTGTGTGTGTGTACATATATACACACACATATATCTTGTGTGACTCTATTATGCTGCCAGGATTGAGAACCACTGAGAATTCAAGTAAAGCAGTGGCTCTCAACCACATCTGTACATTGGAATCACTTGGAGAGCTTTAAAGATGACTGATAGCCAAGTCCCACCCCCAGCGATTCTGATTCAATTAGACTGAGGTGCAGTCTTAAAGATGATCCATTGCTATTATCCTTAATCTTAGCTCTTTAAGGTACTCCCTTCCTTTACCTCAGTGGTTCTCAAACTTAGCTGGCCCTGCTCCGCTCGGGCCACAGTCAAATCACCTGGGGGCTTTGAAAACTGCCAATGTCCAGGCACGTCTACCAGCAAAAATGCCTGTATCAGCAATCAGATCTTAATGGTGAAAAGAAGGCACACTTCCTTCTTCTTACAGGGGTATTCTCATAGCACTCAATCTGAGCCATTCGACTTGACTCTTATTTACTCAATCAACAAGTGTTTGTTAAGCACATATTATGTACATAAGCTAGTGCCCCACTGCTCTTTATTTGTAAAATAGGTATGCACACTTCATCTACCCAGCAAGACTAGTTTTTGATGGAAACATGTTTACACTTCCTTTCTGCTTCCCAGTGTCTACTATAAAAGGTTAGCATTACTGCTTAGTGTTTTACCACACCAAATATTTCCATTGAATAGAATCCAACAGCAATAGCAAAGTACACGGTACAAAGCTAGGTAGAATTTTGGAATGTTATATTGTTTTTGCTATTTCCTGTGAGACATGAACCCTCTGAAGTCTTTCTCGAGATCTGCAACATAGTTTGGAATGCTTTTTTCCCCCGTGGCTGGGAGATCACACTGGAATCATCTGAGGTACTCGTTATCAAGTGCAGATTACTGGGTCTCACTTTAGACCTACCAAGTCACAATCCTTGTGTATGGGCTCTAGAAACCTGTATTTTTAACAAGCACTCCACGTTCTAATTCTAATGCATTCTAGAATTTGAGAACTGCTGCCTTAAAAAGGTGAGTAGGAAGAACTAACATGAATAGAATGTCTACTACCTGTGAAATTCAGTATTTAATGAGCACCCGTCTTGAGTCTGAACAGTGCTGGCACATTACAACAATTAATGAAAGAAAGTCCTGGGGTACATGTTCTGGGGGCACTATGTCTCGGGTGAAAAAAATTAAAATTAAAAAAAAAAGGAAGGAAGGGAAGGAAGGAAGGAAGGAAGGAAGGAAGGAAGCAAGCTAGGAAGGAAGGTTGGTTCCTAGAGAGAGAAAGCGAAGAAAAGAAAGAGTCCTCACCATAGAGTTGCTAATAGAGTTGCTAACAGAGTCAATTAGTGCCCTGGGTGCCTCATTAAGAATGATAATATAAAAGCAATACACTTAGTATGTTAGGCTTTTCAGAGATCATATATTTTAATTCTCACAACCTCCAGGTGAGATAGGCATTCTCGATCCTCTCTTTACCAAAGGTGAGACTGAGGCTCAGAGAAGTAGACTGAGACAGCAGCGCTGATGAGCCAAGATTCAACCTCAGAACCTCTGAGTCCCACTATTCTTTACTAGAGGTAGAGAGGTAAGTTCAGATGAATTTCTACTTCCACTTAGTTCAAGAAGCAGAGTTGTTTCAGATGCTAGAAGGTATCTATAACAAGCAGTCACATCTCTGTAGTTCTAGTGCCGCCGCTGCCAGCAAGTTTGCTGTGACCCTGGCGGCCGAGTTACTTTCTGCGCTCTGGGCGTTCGCGCAATAGTCACCTTTGGGACTTCATTTCCCAGCAAGCCCCGCGGCCGCCTACCGCGCGAGGGATGCCGGGCACCTCGTCCCCCTGTCTTCTCTGGCTGAGCTGCCTGGCGGAAGCGGGAACGGCGCAGCCTGACGTAAAGGCGCACGGCATCCTGGGACATGTAGTCTGGCTGGGGCTCGGACGCCCCCTCGGATGAATGGGACCGAGGCTGACTGCGAACTACAGATCCTTGGTGGCAGCGTCGGTGTTGACCGCGGGGGAAGGGGAGACCCGGCGCCCCCGGTGAGAGCGGCTCTCCAGGACCGTGCGATGTGCTGCGCTGCGGCGAGGCAGGAGGCCGGCTTCCTGGGGTAGCGGTATAAGCGGGCGCTTACTCTGTGCGCTCGCTCCCCCAACCCTGCACCGGCCATGCGCCCGGCCTTGGCGGTGGGCCTGGTGTTCGCAGGCTGCTGCAGTAACGTGATCTTCCTAGAGCTCCTGGCCCGGTGAGTGACCTGCTCGGGCCGCACCCGGTCTCCCGGGGCGGGGCGGAGGAAGCCGGAGGAGAGGTCCCCCCCGGGACGCGCCCACGCCCTGGCCCCACCCCGCCGCCCACGGAGCCCGGGGCAGGACGGCCTGAGCCCCCCAACAATCCGTCCTGTCTGGGCAGCCTGGGACCCCGCTGAGTGCGCTGCTTCCCAAAACTGCGCACCGGCCGCAGTCCCGCCTAACAGTTTCAAAGCATTCCTGCGGGGGGAACACTCAAGGTGTTGCTGTTGTCACCCCTTTTCCACATTCGGGGGGGATTGATTGAAGCCTGAAGAGTTTTTCACATAACCGGTCCAAGGTCGGCGGAGAGCTAGTGTCAAAACCAAGGTTCCTTCACCAAACCACTCTCTCTCTTCCTTCCCATCCAACTCCAGGTCTTTTTTCGATCCTGTTAAATGGCACAGGCTGGACTTGAGCAGAGGTTTTTGACGTACAGAGTCTTTGTACATGCTGCAAAGAAAGTTTTACTTTTATTACGGCGTCCTGCAAAGCATTTGCTTTATTGGCCTTGGAGATGGTTATGAGTGCATACATAAATGATGCGGTAGAACAGATTTTTATGTAGAAGATCAGTCCACGTGACCCGAGAGTGCTCTTTGAGGTGGCTTGCAAGAAAAAAAAAAAAAATTATGTAGAAGATTGGTCCAAGTGACCCGTGAGGGCTCTTTGAGGTCGCTTTGAATGTGCAAAGTTCAGTGGATAGAAGCTATTACAGAAGAGACAACAGGTGGTGTGGAAAAGGCTCCAGGACTAAAAAGCTGTGTTGTGAAATTTCACTCTTGGCTCCGTCATCCACTGGCTGTGTAGCCCTTCAAGTCACTTAGCCTCTCTGGGCCTCCTTTTCCTGGCAGTAAAACAATACTTATAGTGTTTTCCAGCTCGTGTTTCTGAATCTATACATTACAAGTTGAGTATCCTTCATTTAAAATGTTTGGGAACGGGTGTTTTGTATTTCGTTTTTTTTTTTTTTTTTTTTGATTTGGGAATATTTGCATATACATAATGAGATATTTTAGGGATGGTACCCAAATCTAAACACAAATTCGTCTGTGTTTCTTATACACCTTATACACATAACCTTAGCTTGAAGGTAATTGTATACAATATTTTTAATAATTTGTACATGAATTAAAGTTTGTATACACTGACCTATCAGAAAGCAAAGGTGTCAAGTGTGGAATTTTTCACTTGTAATATCATATCAGTGCTCAAAAAGTTTCAGATTTTTTAGAGCATTTCAGAGTTCAGATTTTCAGATGAGAGATACTCAGCTTGTATCTCTGTTGATCATCCGAACAATCCTGTGCAGAAGATAGGTAAAGAATTATAAACTGTTTTACTAAAGTGGAAATGGTCCAAAGAAGTTAGGTGACCTTTCACTGCTTGTAAGTGGCAGAGCCAGAAATGGGAGCCAAGATATCTAAGCTCCTAGTCCAATACCTTTTTCAACCTCCCTGCCAGTTTTGAACTTGAGCAGCCCATAGATTTTGGTTATCCAGTTCTTCATGTGGTGCCTACTAGAAGTTTATTTTATTGGATATCATTGATTAAGTCATCCCGAAGCAACCAGTTTATTTAAGGTAAAGTCTGTATGGGGTTAAGTTTTGCTGTTACGGAGCTTGAAATTTTGTTATACAGAAAGTGCTGATAAAGGTCTCTTATTTGACTTAGGTGAGGGTCTTTTATTTGACTTGGGTGTGGGTGGTGAGGGATATAAAAATGACAAAAAAAAAAAAATTGTATCCAACTGTAAGTCTGATACACTTTTAAAGGAAGGCCACTTTGGTAGCAGTTGATGTGAAAATATAAAAAAGTCGGCCAGGCACAGTGGCTCACACCTGTAATCCTAGCACTTTAGGAGGCCAAAGTGGGTGGATCACGAGGTCAGGGGTTCAAGACCAGCCTGGCCAACATGGTGAGACCCCGTGTCTACTAAAAATATAAAAATTAGCTGGGCATGGTGGCGGACACCTGTAATCCCAGCTACTCAGGAGGCTGAGGCAGGAGAATCCTTAGAACCTGAGAGGCAGAGGTTGCAGTGAGCCGAGATAGCACCATTGCACTCCAGCCTGGGCAACAATGCGAGACTACGTCTCAAAAAATAAAAAAAGAAAATATCAAGAAGTGATTTCATCAGGCCAGCCATGGAAATGAAAGTCAGGGAATAATGGTAATATTTGTGTTGAATATGCCATTAAATTAGATCTTGCCAAAGGCTATATGACATGAGAATATGCAAGCAACTAAATCCCCTCTTTACTACTTTGTGAGCCCCTGACTGAATTACTTGATCTCCCTGAGTCTGACCCAACTGTAAAAGGAGGTAATGGTGATGATGGTTCTTCCAGCTTCACAGAGTTTTGAAGGATGAAGTGAGATGTGCGTGTAAAGCCTAAAGCACACTTGTAGGGCTTCCCATTCTTTCCAACAACTTGGTTTCAATACAGATATATTTCCTTTATGAGATGGTCCTGCAAAGTCCTGGATAAATCTGATTTTACAAAATATTTTCATGCATTATAGGAGCTTCTATTTAAAATATTTTGAATAATTTGTAAATAAATCATCACTTCTTATTTTGTTTGGTAAATCTGCATTTTTTGCATAAAACAATGGTTTTTCATAAAGTGGTGAGGAGGTGCATTTATTGAAATAATCAATGGTGCACCAGACTGAATACAGCCCTTTCCTAATTTGCTTAGACAAGTCTCTACTTCTCGTGTTACAGATCAATAAAATAAGAGCTAGTTGAACCAGATGGCCTTAAGTTTCTTTCTAGATGTGGCCTCGCAATTTGTGACTTTATCTTGGGACATCACAGTGGAAGAAGGCCCATAAATTTTTATAGCGTAGGAACTGTGCTTTTTATATTGGCTGGCTTGGAGCCATTAGGTGCCCTAATAAGTAGCAAGTATAATACTAAATATAAATGCTAAGTGACTTGCAGGAAGAAGAGGACATTTTTAACCATTTTCCCCAAATTGGAAAACAAATTTAGGCTTTTCTTTCTGATTTTTATACCTACAATTGGGACCAATATTAAAACACAATGCAGTGGACAGAGCAGATAGGTAGTAAGGGACGAGTGCCTTGATATTCCTCCTTAGGGAGCTTACATTCTACCTTGGAAACAAGATATACACACACCAGCTAACTAGGCAAGATATTACATGCCATACATCAGGAAAACAATCTGAAACTTTTTTTTTTCCCATTTTATTTTTCATTCAAGTGCCTGATCTTGAATTAAATCGTTTCCTAAATTCAGCAAAAGAAATGCAAAAGGCATAAACTATCTGCCCAATTCATTCTCTTCAAAGTTGCATCCTTTTTTAAATAAAAATTTGAATTTTTGCCAAGAGAATTCAAAGTAAGAGAAACTGTTTGCAGTTAGTGATTACAATTCCTGAGGAATCGAGCTCAAGAAAACAAGATTAAGGGATCCAAGTTTTTACTCTGAAGTTTTAAAATGAATTATTCAAGTTAAAATAAATAATTCCATTGGGAGCTATACAACAGTGTGTTTCGAAAAGGCTTCATAAGTTGAGTTTTCAAAAATTATTTGAGCACATTAGGGAGATTTGTAAATTCTATAGAAATAGAAACAAAAAGTAAATGAGGGTTGTTGCTGGACTGGGAAAAGCAAGAAATGGAAAGTGACTCAAAATGGGAGTAGAATATCTCTTGGGAGTGTCCTAACATTAGTGGCAATTATTGCATAACTAAAAACCCATACCAACCCCCACTGAATTGTAATAATCATAATGCTAAGGGTAACCGCAAATGCCATTTCTTTGCCACTGACCCCTGGGAGACTTACCTAACGCAGTGCAATGGGACCCTCAGCGTCTTTAGTAATGGAATGAAATGGGCATATCAATACCCACCTCCATAAAATAACAAGTATTAGGATGTCCTTTTAAAAAATCCTATAGAGAATACACATGTAAAGTGAATCGTTTTTTAAATCTCTTTTTATCTCTCGTAGAAATTATAAGATTCTAGATCACATTGGAACACTCCCATTCATTCTCTTGCTTGAGCAAAGGTGGGTCACTGATCCGAAAGTGAGAGCAGAAAGGTAAAGGGACATGGTCTGTCCCCTCACCATCCCTGCTAAGGCACTGGCTTCTGACGGCCTCCTCCTTCATGTCTGGCTCCCTCATATTGTCATCTTCTTGGGCAGGGATCCAGTCCCCTTCAAGTTGGGGGCTCCCTGGTAGCTGCCACCTAACTGTACACATAATTGGGTCTTGATCATTGTTCTTTAGCTGACTTGGCCTAAGCTTGTTAAAGAGAACATAGAAGGAAACTTTTAAGCCTCTTTTGGATTAAGTCTTGTGCTTGGCGCTTATATGTATTTTCTCATTGAATATTCACTACAACAGTGAAGTCAGTTTCATTTTAGAGATGAGAAAACTTAGTCAACTGGAATGTCTTTAAAAGGGGGAGGACCTTTTAAAGACTGAAGACGTTTCAGTATGCAAGATCCTGAATACTGGTCATCATACTTGCCTTTTTCACTCTGTGGCAGGCATTGTGTTAAGTGCTTTTCAGGGATGATTCATTTACTCTACAATAAATCAAAGAGATAGGCACTTATATGGTTTCCATTTTAAAGATAAAAACACCAGACTTAGATAATTTACTTCTGTCACACAGCAAGTGACAGAGCATCGTCTCGCATGTCAGTGTGTACTTTTAAGCACAGTGGAGCATGGTGGTTCCCAACCTTGTGTCAGCACCTGAGAACTACCTGTGCATTCACAAACACAGCGATACATACACTCACGCACACTCTCAACCCTTTCCCTGCACCTCAACTGCTATTTCTCCAACCTGGCTGCACATGACAATAAAGTGGAAAGCTTTTAAAAGTACAGATTCCAGGGTCCTACCCCAGACTAATCAGATTAGAAGTGGGAGAGTGAGCCTCTTTGGGTAAATAGGTTGTTTTTTTGTTGTTTGTTTTTGAGACAAGAGTCTCGCTTTGTCACTCAGGCTGGAGGGCAGTGGCGCGATCTCAGCTCACTGCAACCTCCACATCCCAGGTTCAAGTGATTCTCCTGCCACAGCCTCCCGAGTAGCTGGAATTATAGGCATACACCACCACACCCAGCTAATGTTTTGTATTTTTAGTAGAGACAGGGTTTCACCACGTTGGCCAAGCTGGTCTCAAACTCCTGATCTCAGGTGATCCACCTGCATTAGCCTCCCAAAGTGCTGGGATTACAGGTGTGAGCCACCGCGCTGACCATTTGGGAAACAGGTTTTTAAAGAGCAGAGTAGGCTGGCCCGCATTCCAAAGCACCGTGCTAGCAACCGTCTAGAGTTAAAGTTCTTTCTGTTGCTCATATTTAGGCTAATGGTTTTAATTAGCTCCTTGAATGAGGTAAATGTCTGACATGATTATTTATGGATTCCTGCATTTAGCCTTGTCCTTTGAACATAAGAAGTGCTCAAAGAGAACTTGTTGAATGGAATAGGTAGCAGTTTTCAAGGAAACCTTCATAGGCAACAGAACTTAAAGAGTAGCAACAGTTCTGCTTCAGTTCGTAAGCCTCGCTCTGTAGGAATGGCTCCTGCCTGGGCTGTCTTATTTTTGTGCCTGATGGGTATATTTAAGGACTTGTATATCTTGGCATTGCTTTATATATAATACTAACACCACCAATGGAGAATGGAGTCATTGCTGGTAAGTAGCATTATATTAATATGTAATAATACAATTACATCTCTGTCTTCATCAGCTTCAGGTAAATGCCTTCGGTCAAGATGAAAACGCAGAATACGAAGGCGGGTGAATATTGGGATTATAGGAAATCTGGAAGCTTCAGGAGAGCAAAGATAACTGCTCACTTTGTTCTTCTTCCAGTGATTGAGCAGAGCTGAATGGAAGACAAGCTCAAGAAAACCTGAACATTTTAAATGACTGGTTTTCAGAGTGCCTCAAGATGAATGTCAGGAGAAAGTTTTTAACTTTGTAAATTTGTTCCTAACAATCACTGTTGAACGTGGGGTATCTTCCCCAACTATTTCATAGACCGCTAAAGAAAATCTATTGAATTCCACAAGCATTTTTTGAGTGCCTAATATATTCAAAACACTGGGTTAATAGTAGACTACGGCAGTGTTTTTCAGTCTTTTGTTCATTATGCCTCCTCCAGAATACTTTTTAGACGTTGTGTTCTTAATCCCTCCCCCAGGTGTACTGGTTCAGGTACTGTATGTATATTTGTATTTTATTATTATAAAAAGAATAAGATTCCCCCCATCCCAAGAACCAAGTTTTGCCCCGTTGCTGGGCACCATTACCATTAAAGTAATGTCCCTATCATCAACACTGGGTTCGTTTTTCATTTGACAGCAGTCTTGGTGATTCCTGGTCAGGAGGGATATATAAACGTTCCAGGAGACCTGAGCATATTTCTGTCTCTGGGCTTTGCTGCCTAAGCTGACTAGGATCCTGATTAAAGACCTTTTTGGTGAAGCAAAGATCCCAATAAGAACTTAAGACCAATTTCCTACAGCTTACTAGGAAAGCTGTATCATAGTTCTGGAAACAAGTGTGTCACAGTAATTCTCCCTCATGGCCTGGTACACGCAAGGAAGAGTAAAATAAGAAAGCTTGACATTCTTCTCTGTGAGATCAATGCTAAATATATGTGATCCAAAGGCTATGAACATTGAGATAAAGGACAGTGGGTAATCGAAATCCCTCCACCCTGTTATTCTGGCCCTCTAATTAGAATGCATTTTAGTGTTATCTCAATTTTTGTGCCTTTCCCCTCCTCTTTTGTTATTCACTATACAGGAAGCATCCAGGATGTGGGAACATTGTGACATTTGCACAATTTTTATTTATTGCTGTGGAAGGCTTCCTCTTTGAAGCTGATTTGGGAAGGAAGCCACCAGCTATCCCAATAAGGTATGGTACATTAGAGTCTCTTTTAGCTTTTGGATTTTTTAAGAAAGTAAAGAGGTGGTACCTGTATAAAAGGAGTATGAGACATTCTTTTGTAAGATTTATTTCAGAGATATCAGTAGAATACTAAGTCATTTTCTGAATTTAATACGTTGTGAAAATCCAGGGTGCCTACTTCCAAACTAAAATTTCTGCCACAAGATTTAAAATAACCATGATGGAGACAAGAGTGTGTATGTGTGTGTGTTCTTATTTAGTATGAGATTACTCAGAAGGCCTAGTGTGACCACAAATTTTATGCTGTCTTCTGTGTTGGTAAAGTTATCAAACATTCTAAAAGAGGAGTATCCTTGTTTCTCTTTAAAAACGAATGGCTTTTGGAAATAAATAGTGGTAGTAGTTACATAACTTTGTGAATGTACTAAGTGCCACTGAATTGTTCAGTTTAAAATGGTTAATTTTATGTTACGTGAATTTCACCCCAATTAAAAGAAAATGAATGGCAAGCGAAGTCAAAATTTGTTGATGCCAGACCTGTAGTCCATTAGTCCAAATTTGCCTAATTGTACTAATGGGGCCAAATAGAAAACAGGGCAGTTCTTACGATAAACAATGTATTGAAAACTCACCTTTCTTGCTGAGAGTGACTCGAGATAAAAGTGTAATCCATCCAATTGTGAGAATTTAGTAGGATGGTATCACTTACTCCCTTTTAGAGCGACATGCTGGTATGAATATATCCAAGTACGAAGGCGAAGGCCCGTCTTTGTTGGTTTTCTTTTGCAGCATTCCTACGTAGCCTGCTATAGAAAATCTGGCTGAATTTTGTTAATATTATACTTTTAAAGTTCCCAATGCGATGCTAAATATTCCAGATACTTTTTGTTTTTCATTGGCTTTAGTATCTGCATAAAACTTTCTGCCCCTAAAGACCAGCATTTACATTGCAGTAAAAGCCCCAGAATTTCTTGACTCCTCTGGCCCTTTCCCGCCTCTTCCCACCGTCTCTCCCCATTCTCTCTACCACTAGCATAGATCAGGAAGTATACCCTGTCACCATATCTTTTATAATAGCATCCTAGCTGACTGACTTCCCTGCCTCCCACCTCCTCATCCGTCCATTTCACTTAGTGTCATTTTATCATGTGGCCTCACTCTGTGGTTACCTGATGTTCTGAATGACATCCAGACTCCCCAGCCTGCCCTTTGAGGGTCTCTGTGATCTTGCCCTCATAACCATATTCCCATGCAAGTCCTATGTGTGGTGGCCATTTTATTTTCTGTAGGTGGAGCCATAATCAAAATTTTGCTCATGTCATTCATCCCCATCAACAATTTCTAGGCAAGCAATGTGGAATAAATTAATTGTCCTAAAAGACCTTGACAAACTCTCTGTAAACGGCACGTCTTCAAGATAGAACTAAGAAAATTAGGCAAGAAACCTGATAAAGTTGCAGATAGTATGTTATTTAGAAGCTGTGAAGAAGCTGTTGCTGGTAATTTTGCATGTGTGTTCATTGTCAAGTTCGTCAGACTCTCCAGACTATATTAGTTTAGCCTTGGCTTGACTGGCCTGTTGTGGTGTATGGCTCCACACCTAACTAGCAACGCAGAATGGGTTCTTTCAGGGAAGATCACTTAGGACTCAGTGCCGTCATATCCTGCAGCTGTGCAAAGGTGGAAAATGGTTGGAAATCTCAAAGATCAACATTTCCTGAAGAATATGGAACCACTTATTTGCCTTTGCCCTGCATTCTTTAGCCATTTATTTTAAATACTGTTTTTTCTCTTACTGAATATAGTAAGCTGAGTCATATGAAATTTCTGGCATTCAACTTGTTGACCTATAAAAATGGCAATTTTATATGGTTTAGCCCAATGTATGTAGAAGGCATCTTATATATTTTCTGGATCACAGTGATGACATACAAATGTAAAATTGTTTGTTTATTCATCTGTTCATAATTATTCATTTGTATTTATCCCTTTAAGTTATTAGGGTTACTGGATTTTTTTTTTTTTTTGGTTTTTGTTTCTGTTATTATTTTAAGACCTATAAACTTTCAAAAAACAGAGACCCTGATTTTAAATAAAAATCTGTACAAGTCAAACCATGTCCTCATTAATTTGGAGGCCACTAGTTCAGAATGCGGGAGAATTTAGCAGCTGCTAGGCTGAAAATAATCCTTAACTTAGCGAATACTTTCTTTAGAAACAGCGAAAATTAACAGTACAAACAAGTGTATAGAGGACGTTTTTGAGAGAATCAGCCATTTGCAAGTTCTTCAGAGGTATATGAAAATTATTTACAAAGAACCAATGCAATCATTTTAAGTTGCTATGTATACTTGAAAAATATTAAATAGTGTTTCTTTAAATGTATTTTATAACTCAGACTTTCCCGTGTTAGTCTGGCTTTGTGAAGCATTTTGATACTTACTTAGTAGTTGACATTGCATGATAATAGCGATGCAATTTTGTAACGCAGAGGAAATATGCAAGATGCCTTTTTAGCCAAAAATACATATTTCCTATACTTGATTTTCTTGAAATCCTAGATTCTGTTTGATGAGCTATTCTGTCTGCATTTCAGGTACTATGCCATAATGGTGACCATGTTCTTCACCGTGAGCGTGGTGAACAACTATGCCCTGAATCTCAACATTGCCATGCCCCTGCATATGATATTTAGATCGGTAAGTGCTGCCGGATCCCGTGTGTATGTTTGTCTGAAAAGTATAGTTAAGTAGGTCAATTGAATATATGGCAGAACTAGAAGGGTCTTGTAGTAAGTGGTCTTAGGTACAAGAATAGGTTTGTGAATGCATGAGCAAAAATGGCTTTCATCTGAAAAGTAAGGCAAAAAGAGAAATCTCAAAGTGGATGGTTTACTTTTATTCATCTGAGGTCTAATGAGTGATTAATAAAAAGAAAATTAAATTTTCCCTAGGAAACAGATTTTGCCTTCATTTTCCCTCATCTCTTTGATTTTATATTCAAACATGCTATGTTATTTAACGTATTTCTTATCACTTACTTCTTTCTTTCATAAAAGTACATTTACTTCCAGAACATGAAAGAGATACTTGTCTTTTCTGATTTTATTTTTTAAAGCAGAGACTTGAGATGATAAAAGGAAATTCCTGATGAAGGTAGGGTTTCTCCCACAGCACTCCAGGCAAAAAAGGCTGATAATTGTGATGATAACATTTCCATGTGGTCTGAGATTTTTGTGAGATTGTACTGTTCCTGGAGGGAGTTTCCAAAGCAATTATAATAATTAAGGTGACCTTCAAAGCATTGAAAACATAGTAGACTTTCAATAAACACCTGTTGATTGATTGTCGCCTTTTTAGAGAGCAGAGAGATCCTTGCGTGACTTTTCCTGTTAAAACTAGTCAGGGGCTGGGCGCGGTGGTTCACGCCTATAATGCCAGCACGTTGGGAGGCTGAGGTGGGCGGATCGTTGGGAGTTCAAGACCAGCCTGACCAACATGGAGAAACCTCGTCTCTACTAAAAATACAAAATTAGCTGGAAGTGGTGGCACATGCCTGTAATCCCAGCTACTTGGGAGGCTTATGCAAGAGAATCACTTGAACCCGGGAGGCAGAGGTTGCAGTGAGCCAAGATCACACCATTGCATTCCAGCCTAGGCGACAAGAGCAAAACTCCGTCTAAGGGAAAATAAAAAAGTGTTCAGGGGTGGAGGGTGCAGGTAATAGGGAGAAGCTTATTAAAAGCTCTTATAAATTAGGTAGATGGAAATTTTGACAAATATAAGTCCATGATATCATTTATTCCTGCTAGCCCTAGCTTCAGCACTGACCAATTATAGTTGACCCTTGAACAACATGGGTTTGAACCTCATGGATCCACATATTTGCGAATTTTTTTCAAACAAATATGAAAATACAGTATTCGTGGGATGTAAAACATGCCTATACGTAGGGCTGATAATGACTATATTGAGAATTGATCCTTTTTATTCTCATTGTCATCTTTAAAAGGTTTTTTTTTAAATATATATACACACACACATATATTTTTGGAGACGGAGTTTCGCACTTGTTGCCCAGGCTGGAAGTGCAATGGTGCCATCTTGGCTCACTGCAATCTGCACCTCCTAGGTTCAAGCGATTCTCCTGCCTCAGCCTCCTGAGTAGCTGGAATTACAGGCGCCTGCCACCATGCCCAGCTAAGTTTCGTATTTTTTAGTAGAGACAGAGTTTCACCATGTTGGCCAGGCTGGTCTCAAACTCCTGACCTCAGGTGATCCGCCCACCTCGGCTTCCCAAAGTGCTGGGATTATGGGCGTGAGCCACCGCGCCCGGCCATCATAATAGCTTTTTATGGTTTATACTTTTGCCGTCATAAGAACAACTAAATCTTACTAATTATTCATCCTAGCCTCCTTCATTCCATGTTTTTCCCCCTTGCCCATGTTCCTATTCATCTCGAATTATGTTTTTTTCCTAGTGCACTAAACCTGTTACTGTTGTCTCCTTTTGCAGGGTTCTCTAATTGCCAACATGATTCTAGGAATTATCATTTTGAAGAAAAGGTAAACAATATACTTCTATATTTTGTGAATGGAAATGATATCCTGAGCCCCTGTCCATAAGCTAGTCATCTGGATTCCTTGTCTCAAAGTAGTGATAAGTTTGCTTCTGGCCGTCTACCTCTTTTCTTAGTTCTTTACCAGTGAGGCCCAATCATGCAATGTCCTGAAGCAGCTAACCAGGTAAGAGGTGACACCTGTGGGGTCTCTATGTAGAACTGAATAGCTCTTGCCATCGTTGAATTTTAGTATCATAATAACCTGCGAAGCCAACTTAAAAAGATGATAGAGAGATTCACTGTGCAGTATGGTCACCACGAACCACGTGTGACTATTTATATTTACATTTTTCAAAATTAAAGAAAATTAAATATTTAGCGTCTCAGTTTCATTAGTCATGTACACTTTTTTTTTCTTTTTTCCTTTTTTGGAGACGAGGTCTCACTCTGTCATCCAGGTTGGAATACAGTGATGCGATCTCGGCTCACTGCAGCCTCCAGCTCCCAGGTTCAAGTGATCCTCCCACCTCAGCCTCCCAAGTATTTGGGACCAAAGGCGTGTGCCACCATGACCAGCTAATTTTTTTTGTATTTTTGGTAGAGATTGGGTTTCGCCATGTTGTCCAGGCTGGTCTCAAACTCCTAGTCACATTTTCAGTGCTCAGTAGACTCACGTGGCTGGTGGTGACCATGTTGGAGAGCCCAGACGTGGAACATTTCTAACATCCCAGAAATTCCATGGGACGTTGCTGCCCTAGAAGATGCTTATGAGTACAGCATAGCGAACTAAGGAATGGTTGTACATATTAAAAAGGAAATTCCTAACAAAGGCCCAAATAGCCAAGAAGATGGAAGGAAAGGTTCAGGGCTGTTCTTTGTGACCATCACCAATGGCTCTCTTTGGGATAAGAGCAGGAGGTACCAGAAGTACCTGGGATGCTTTTTCAAAGTATTTGTCTCTCACCTTCACTCTGAGCTTCACCCCTCACTCCTAAGCAGGAAGGATGTTAGCGAGAGACAACACATACAGTTTGGGAAATTTCTCAGGGAAAGTTCACTGGTAAGACCAAAACTATGTAAGTGATGGCAACTTTTCAATGTATTTGATATCCAGCCCCAAGCTCTCTATACGTGCTTGGAAAGTAGCTGTCAATTCAGAATGTGAGAACCTAGAGTTTTTAAGTATTAAGGGCTGTGTCATAAAAAGAACAGCTGTCCTGTCCTACTAGGCTCCGTATCATGGACCCTTTATCTCCTGAGGCTTATGAATTCCCTGAAAAGTACTACTGTAGTTTTCTTTCTTCTTGGTTCTCTGCATTTCAACATGTGTACATATGATGGTCAGGTGTATTACATTTGAAGTGATCACCATGCTTCTTATAGTATGGAATTCGCCTTGGGACAGGCCTGTGCTCTTTTCCAACCTTTGATTCTGGCTCGTAACAAGGATACCAGAGAACATGTTATAAGAGGAGTTGTGTTCTCCTGGTATTGCCCCAAAATATTAGGGGTCTTTGCCAGGCATCTGTTGCCCTTAAGAACTTGTTCTGATGGTGTCATCTTGCATCTGTCCAAGCCTTTTGACTCTTTTCTATGTGTATCTCTTTCCCATAGAGCAGGAATTTTCATAAGTTAACCTTCCAATAGAGTGAATTAACTTCTTATCTCCTTTTCTCTTGGGTAGAAGACCCTCAAGTTCATAGTGTGCTCCTCATTCCAAGATTTGAAGATCAAATCTATATTCACCTTACCCATGCCTTTATTATTCTTTTTGGCCTGAGTTGTAAACCTCTTCAGCGTGATCTTTCCGAACTGAAGAGGTTCATTATTTTTTACCGTACGTCCGCTCATACCTGCTTCCTCCCCAACTGCTCTCTAACATGGTCTTCTCGGCCCTTTTGGTTCCTTTCTCTGATTATTAGCTAGTTCTGGCCTTTTACAAAGTACTGTGACCAAAACAATACTATGTATTTGAGTAGAAAACCTGGGATGGTTCATCTTCTTAGTTAAATTTCTTTTAATCCTTGCCTGAGGCCTTTTGCTTGATCACCAAGAATCTGAGAGGGTGCTGATGATACTAGCTAATGTGAAATGGTACTGTTATTACTGCCTGTAGTTCTATAATCTGAATATCCTTCCCCTCATCCAACTATGCCAACATTTTAAAACAACATTAAGTCATTCTGAGATTTAAAAAAACAAGCCTCCCCCAGAGAATGGATGACTGGATTATGTTCTGAGTATTGAATCCTGCTACTTGCACCTGATAGCCTGTTCTTCCACTTGAATAGTGTGTCTTAGGACACAGATTTGGGCCCCCTAAAGACAGGAAAAGCAACAGATCCTAGTAAGGACTGGGTCAGGCTTTCATTTGGACTCTTGAGAGCAGAATGCAACATCACATCCGGTCTATTTCTGTTTTTATTTCCTGATGAAATAATCGATTGGTCAACAAAGTGTTGGAGACAGACTAAACAGTACCAAGGAAAAGTGTTGGTTAGAAACCAGTCAGTATCCTGATTCATTCATATGCATACTTCTGTGGACTCTGCTGGAAAATAATCCTGTCTGTCATATTTTAGTGATTTGTACTTTCACGCACCATCTGACTGTAAATATCACTGGGAAATTCATATCTCTGCTTTCCTAAGGTGTTTTTCTCCTTTTTTTTTTTTTTTTTCTTTGCAGATACAGTATATTCAAATATACCTCCATTGCCCTGGTGTCTGTGGGGATATTTATTTGCACTTTTATGTCAGCAAAGCAGGTGGTAAGAAGCTCACAAATCATTTTATATTCACTACTTGCTATTGGGGCCCAGTTACCAGGCAATTAATAAAATTCAAAATTTTAGGTAATACAAAGATTTTGAAAGAGAAGAGGGGAGGGAAATGGGTAACATAAATATTTCCCTTGTATGTTGGCGCCTTGCATGTAGTTCTGCTCTCTGTACCTAGTTTATTTTCTTATTTCCTAGACTTCCCAGTCCAGCTTGAGTGAGAATGATGGATTCCAGGCATTTGTGTGGTGGTTACTAGGCAAGTACAATAATTATAATAAAGCTAATTGCCTCTGCAGTTATGTTTGCTGAGTTTTCTCCTAAGAGACATGTTTCTTGGCAAGAAGCTTCAGCTAAACAAATTATGCCATGGAAGAGAGGCACCTGGGATCATATTTCTCTGAACCTTAGCGTTCAAGAAAGGAAAAAAAGAAAATGCCCCCACATCCGTGGCAATATGTTCTACAACATGGATCCATGTTTTTCTTGGATGCCACTGGTGTAGAAAGAAGTGTGTGTCTACTTGCCCATCACACTCTTTGAATGTCATCCGTCTCTTCACGATCTGTCTGCCGAGCTGAAGCTTCTGCAAGAGAAGGGCACGTTAGAGCAATTGACTCTTTAAATTTCCGAGGGACGCATTTCTATAGACTTATTTTCTTCAGAGGTTAGCTGTTCCATATGGCAGTGTTCCCAAACCTGACTGATCATCAGAATCTCCTGGGGAATTTTTAAAAATACAAGGATCTCTCTGTGGAATTAAATAGGCAGCTCCTGGAGAGCTTTGTTCTCCTGTTTTTTGATATGGAGGTGAGATCGTCCCAGGGGCTTTCAATGATAACAATAACAGATTGAGACTGACCAAGTGGAAGAGAAATAGCAGTGAAAGAACTGTGTTCTCCTTGCTTCTTGGCTTTGAAACTTTATCCCTTTAGGTTACTGTTTGTAACATAGAAAGATCCTCATGCGCTATTAGAAAAATACCCAATGAGAAAAATGTGCAAAGGATGTGAACGTAAAGTTCACGGGGGAAATAGTAGTACCCAACAATTTTAGGTTCAGCCTCACTAGTCTAGTAATCAAATAAATGCAAATTGAAACCCAAATGCAATACCTTTTTATGTTGGCCTATCATACCGGCAAGATGATAAATGGTTATCTCATTGCTGCTGAGGGTACAGTAAGACAACTATTTTTATAAAAATAGTTTGGGTATAAATGGACACAGCTTTTACGGAAAAATATATATGTACATTTTTAAATATATTTATTTATAAAAAGTATTGTATTTTTTAAATGTCCAACAGCCTTTGACTCAGTAATTCCACTTATGAGGGTTTATCCTAAAATATATCAACATTTGTTTAAAGATTTGTATACAAGGATGTACATTGGTTTTAATAATGAAATAATTGGAAATAACCATTCTCATACGTCTAAGTATGCTATATCCATATCATAGTCATTAAAAGCATTCTTTTGAAAAAATTTTAATGACTGATTTGAAGGAAAAGTCCAGGCAAAAGCTCATGAAAAAAGCAAGATATAAAATTCCATATGCAATCTGATCCTGTCTTAGTGTAAAAAAATTTACATAAATGAATATATAAGGAGATGTAGAAAGCTGTAAAGGACTAGATGGTAATAATGTATTTTTATTTCTTTTTACAATTTTGTACATGTTCTACAATTAGTTTGTAATATTTGCAGGACTTTAAACAATAATGTTCTTCAAGAAGAACATCTGGAAATGAACAAATGCAGACATCTTGTAACCTGATGTTTTTTAGGTATTGGGGCACTGACTTTTGCTCTTCTGATGTCCGCAAGGATGGGCATATTCCAAGAGACCCTCTACAAACAATTTGGGAAACACTCCAAGGAGGCTTTGTTTTATAATGTAAGCCACTTGTTGAACCTGGGAGCATGAAAATTCCTAAGTTGTAAAATGTTACTCTAAGTGAACTATTCCCATTCTTCTGGTATAATATGTTACTCCAAGTGAACTATTCCCATTCTTCTGATGTAATATGTTACTCCAAGTGAACTATTCCCATTCTTCTGGTGTAATATGTTACTCCAAGTGAACTATTCCCATTCTTCTGGTGTAATATGTTACTCCAAGTGAACTATTCCCATTCTTCTGGTGTAGTTGGAGGTTGATTATTGGTAGATGGCTGTAAGACCCACAGACTGAAGCGGTTTTGATGGGATGCTCTGGTGGGTTCTGAGTCACAGTTCACTGTATGAGATGACACAATCAATCAAAGCGAATTAAATTGTGTCTGCATATTTAGCAAGTCCTTTTGTGCAGAATGACTATATGTTTAAATTTCTCCATTCCCTGTTGTTGAGGAAAGGATGCTGGCTCCGTTGTTTGCTTTGTCTGTGATGGCCCTCAGACCCTATAAGGGCAAGAACCATAATTTGGGAGTTGATATCCTGCCATACAATGTGAAGTAGTCAAGAAGCATATACATTTAAGTCTAACTTGCTTTTCTTTATATTGCTGTCAAACAACCTGTACAACTTGTAATCATTGTAAAGCTACTCTAATTATTCTATAATGTTTTTGCACTTACACTTATGTGACCAATTTCTTTCCACAGCACGCCCTTCCACTTCCCGGTTTCATCTTCTTGGCTTCTGATATTTATGACCATGCAGTTCTATTCAATAAGTCTGGTGAGTTTGGGGTTAGACAGTAGAATTACCTGACAGTTTCTGAGGCAGAGTCTCAGTTTTACTCTTGACTTGACCACGGCCTTTTTCATGATCCTGTTCAAATCATGTGTTCCTTTCGAAAATGTCTCCATTCCACTTTCCAGTCATTGCAGCAGCAAAAGCTTTCAGAGGAGTTTCTCAATTATTTACAAATGAAGTAAAAGAATGTTTTTGAGTTTTCTATTTTGCTTTGATATTTGTGTGTTTGCATTTGAATGTGAAATGTTTCATGTTTTGAGAATGCAAATGAATACTTATAGCACACTGCAGAGACTGGAACCCTGCAAGTTGGGCAGCCGTCCAGCTCTCTCAACTGCTGTTTATCCTTCTCTTTCTTGAAAGGCAGAGCTGCTCACAGATCCATCCCAAGCTACCGTGGAGCAGAGCAAGAGGGGAGCTCCATGATGACAAGGTTTTTCTCCTAGTTACACATGAGATAGGCAGCAGATGAATAAGCAAAATTAGTTTCAAGCTTCTAGTGTAAGTTAGCTGTCACTTTTTTAAATGGCCAGTCAATAAATTAGCTATAGATTGTCAGTTAACTTGAAAGGGATCACTTATATGATCTGATTATCTACTAACAGCATTATATAGACAGTGAACACACAAGGAACAAATAAACATTTTTAAAATCAAGCTTTTATGTTGCACACACCTCAAATGCTTAAGTGCATTTTGTGGAATGACAGTAGGTGCTCAGTAAACATTTGTTTGCTATCTCAGCATGAATCGTGAAGTTATGACTATTCTCTGCATTTATAGTGTTGCCTCTCCCATTTGCCCTACCCCCAAAAAATGTGAAGGTAGTGTGTAAGAAAGTTTGTAAGGCTCTGAATTACTCAAATAATCATTTCTTCATATTAACACAACAGTTTTTTTAAGATCTCTGAGAAATCCCACGCAGCAAACAGCTATTGAAATAAAAATGTCAAATTCCATGTGATTGATTTAGTTGTTAGAATGCTCCTAAAAATCACAGGGCTAGGCATTTATGATAAAATGTTTTACAGAATCTGCCTTCAACTTCTTCAGAATCATTTCCAAGTTAAAGATACATTTTCCTTCTCTTGCTTTTCTTGAGATTAAGTGTCTGAGATCCATGAATTTTCCAAGAGAGCTAAATGTCCATCAAAATAAGTGATATTCATTGTCTTTCCTTCAGAGATTCAGTGTATCTCTGAAGTTATTAAAAAGTAATCACGTTTGTTAACTTCCTTTTCATTTCAATATTTGCTAAGTATATCAAAGACAATAGAATACCAGATTATTGGCATTGCCCACTGATCCAGAACCAAGTTCCAAAACTTAGTCTTTATGTGTGCGTGTGTATATATACATGAGACATTTTATTGGTGAAAGAAAATTGATGTTTATTTTCTTACCAGATCTCAGCATCATTGTATCAGCATTTCTTAAATTATGCTGTATAATTCAAAACCTGAAAACAATTTAGTAATACAAAAAAACTGACCCGTTGAGGATTTCTATGTCTTTATTCTCTTTCATCTTAGATATTTTATTTCCTCCCACAAATTTACTGTGCAGGTGTCATTGTATAAAGCTAACATAAGAGTGAGTGAGTGTGTGTGTGTGTGTCTGTCTTTTAAGAGAGACAGGACCTCCGTATTGCCCAGATTGGTCTCGAACTCCTGGGCCAAAGGGATCCTCCTGCTTTGGCCTCCCAAAGTGCTAGGATTACAGGCATGAGCCACTACTCCTGGCCTAAAACTAACATAAGAATATATTTAAAGTTATTCACTGTTCCATCAACCTACACATCTGCTAATTTTATTTTTATTGGTTTTCTTCTAGACCATGTCTGTTTACAGAGATTCTTACATAGCTGTAATCCTTGGGTGAATATAATTTTATATTTGTTTTTCACTTTTTTTCTGAGTTTTATGTGGCTATGTAATTGCTGCGATTTTCATTTTTATCAAACGTACAATGCCTCCTCTAATGAAAGTACCTTTGTTTATGTAGCCATTGCACCATCATTGGACATTTGATTGATTTTGATTCAGAGTTATTCTTCATTATGTGTAGTACTTTAATGAGTGCAGAACCTTTTTCTTCCTTGGAATTAACTAGGATTAATTCTGAAGGATGGGTATGAATAGTTTCATAGACCCTTAATAAGGATTATGAAATTGATTTTTTGAAGAATGAAACCAAGTTATACTGCCACCAACCTGTGGCTGCCAGTTCCATCACCAACTTGCTGGATTAAGATATTATTTATAAATTTTGAATTGGCTAGGCACAGTGGCTCAAGCCTGTAATCCCAGCACTTTGGGAGGCCAAGGCAGGCAAATCACCTGAAGTCAGGAGTTCAAGACCCGCCTGGCCAACATGGCGAAACCCTATCTCTACTAAAAATACAAAAATTAGCCAGGTGTGCTATTGTGCGCCTGTAGTCCCAGATACTTGGGAGGCTGAGGCACAAGAATCACTTGAACCTGGCAGAGGTTGCAGTGAGCTGAGATCACGCCACTGCACTCCAGCCTGGGTGACAGAGTGAGACTCTGAAAAATAAATACATAAATATTGAATTGCTAATTTTGTAGCTATAAAATGGTACGGTCTTATTTACTTTGGAATTCTGTAATTACTAGTGTGATTGAACATATTTCCAAACGGTATTTAGTTACTAGCCGCCATTCCTCTCGTGTTGAGTAGTTAAGGCTGTCTGTATCATTTTATCATTCTCAACTTTTCTGTGCTTCACAGTCTTTCTTTGTAAAGTGAGGTACTAGTCAGGCAAACGGTAAAGCATTTCCTTAAAAATTAAAACGACTATTTGTTTTAAGAAACCAATTTAATGACTTTAGTGGCTGCTATAGACTGGAGTCAAGGCGAGTAAAGTGATGTGTGGTCCAATTCTATTTGCAAGGAAGACAATGTTGCTGTTCCTATTATGTTCAGTCTGTATTACCCTGTTCAAACTATGAAAAATTCAGCTGTGAAAAAGTGATGTGGCTATATCCTCTTGTAACCTCTACAGAGTTATATGAAATTCCAGGCATCGGAGTGACCCTGCCCATCATGTGGTTCTACCTCCTCATGAACATCATCACTCAGTATCCTTTGGACTCTGCCGTCACCTTTATGTCATCTTCAGGTTCTTGTGGCATAGGAATGGTCATTCTTGTCTTCCAACAGTGTGTTGACTTGAATCTGATTTTCGCTGGATTTATTCTGCAGCAAGCTGGAGACAGAGACCTATTCAGGGAACTCCTTGTAGAGGGCAGAAGAGGTGCTAGTGGTGCAGTAGGTCAGTAAGGCACAGGGCAGCGGGAGGAAGTGCCCTGAGTGGAAGCAGAGGAGTCCATTGATTGATAGTGGCGGGTGCAGTGGCTCATGCCTGTAATCCTAGGACTTTAGGAGGCCGAGGCGGGCAGATCACTTGAGGTCAGCAGTTTGAGACCAGCCTGACCAACATGGTGAAACCCCATCTCTACAAAAATACAAAAGTTAGCCAGGCATGATGATGGGTGCTTGTAATCCCAGCTACTCCATAGGCTGAGACAGGAGAATCGCTTGAACCTGAGAGATGGAGGTTGCAGTGAGCTGAGATCATGCCATTGCACTCCAGCCTGGGTGACAGAGCGAGACTCCATCTCAAAAAACTGTATAGCTTGAATCATCTGTGATTTCTACCTGTGATTTTTTGGTGTCCTAATGTATTTCCAGTGATCACAAGCTGCTGCAAAGTCCTGAAAGAAATTTCAAATTAAGAGGCTGAGGTGGGAGGATCACTCAAGTCCAGGAGATCGAGGCTGCAGTAAACTTGATCACTCCACTGCACTCCAGCCTGGGTAACAGAACAAGACCCTGTCTCAAAAAAAAAAAAAAAAAGAAATTTCAAAATAGCTTTCATTTTTTAAAATAGTTATTTCGAATGATCTTATATTCATTATGAAAATAATTATGTCTTTGAAATAGTAAAACAAATCACAGTTGACCTCATTCCTCTGAAGTCAGCTCCTTGATTTGCCATAGAGTCCCTTTCTGGAGGAGAGTTTAGAAGGGCTGGAGGCAAGATAAATAAAGGTGAATGGGATCACCCTTACCGAGAGTGTCACCCTCTGTCATTACCTTGGAGGTGCCTGTCATTGTAACCATAGGAAGACTCCAACATAAGAATAATTGGCAGTTTTTTAGGCAGTTTCGAATTGGTACCCACAAATGGAATGGCAGGACAGTTGTTCTGCAGGTTCTCCCCAGGAGGAGCCTCATAGCTGCCATAGCAGAACTTCATGTTTTCTTAGAATATGAGAAGTTAAGTCAGGGACCATGCTAGAAGGTTCTCCCACTGATCCCCCAAGTATAGTCTACAGAAAACTACCTTGACTCCACTCCTCCAGGTACGTGTGCATCCGGGGTGTGTTCATCCTCACCACGGAATGCGCCTCCCTCACCGTCACGCTCGTCGTGACCCTACGCAAATTTGTGAGCCTCATCTTTTCCATCTTGTACTTCCAGAACCCCTTCACCCTGTGGCACTGGCTGGGCACCCTGTTTGTCTTCATTGGGACCTTAATGTACACAGAGGTGTGGAACAACCTAGGGACCACAAAAAGTGAGCCTCAGAAGGACAACAAGAAGAACTGAGACCTGCCTGGAGTACGTAGACCAGTGTCGTCGTGAGGCAGGGACCACCGTTTCGCTTTTGTTAATGCCGAGCTACCCGCAGTGCTGAGCCAGCCATGCAACAGGAAATCTTCAGGAGGAGGGGACTTCTCACATTGCTCATACTGACACGTGTAGACTGAATAGAAACCCCTCAGCCCTAAAATAGAAAAAAGAACAGTTCTGGACTATTGAACAGCCCATTCATTTATTTGTTTTGTTTACCAAAATATTCAGTATTATTCTTGTTTATTGAATTCTGAGCCTCCATGAACTACTGGCTTACTATCCATGGTCTTGGAAAACATTGTCCCTTCTGTTGCTGTTCTAATGCATCTCTGCCACAGCAGTCATTGTCATCCTGTGGCCTTACCCCTTTTGTCTCCCATCACCTTTTCCTTCCTCAGCAGCACCTCACTGTCAGTCAGACGCTGCAGGCACCACCATCACCAGGAGTGGCCAAGTAAACTGAGACACCGGTAACTGCGGGGCTGGACTTCCTCCCGCGTTTTGGGAAGGAAACAGATGTTCCCTTGAGCTGATTCCCAGTGACACCGGAGCAGCACTAGTGGGACTCCTCTTTCCCAGATTCTGCTTTTTTTTTTTTCCCTATGCAAAAGTCAGATGCTTCTATCCGTTGCTTTCTGTGGTTAGGGCAGCCCTGCAGCATATCTCACAGCAGACACAGTGTTCATAACAAAGAAAGGTTGTGCCAGGCACGGTGGCTCATGCCTGTAATCCCAGCCCTTTGGGAGGCTGAGATGGGCGTATCACTTGAGGTCAGGAGTTCAAGACCAATCTGGCCAACATGGTGAAACCCCAACTCTACTAAAAATACAAAAATTAGCTGGGTGTGGTGGTGCATGCCTGTAATCCCAGCTATTTGGGAGGCTGAGGCAGGAGAATCACTTGAACCCGGGAGATGAAGGTTGCAGTGAGCTGAGGTCTTGCTACTGCACTCCTGCCTGGGCGTCAGAGTGAGATTGTATCTCAAAAAGAAAGAAAGAAAAGTTGTTATGGACTGGGCACCCCTGAAGCCCATTACCTAGGCCACAGTGGTGACAGCAGGATGTCCCTGCCCAGCACCGCAAGAGCCATGGCTGCCCCTGTTGGCGCAACCGGGTACTCACAGGGCAGAAGGGTAGGTCTCCAGTGGGAGGATAAAGCTTCACCACCAGGAGATTCCCCTCTGCCTGATGACTCTGATAGAGTCACGACCAGTCAGGGGAATGCATAGATGGAGATATGTAGTGTGTGATGTGTAAATCAGCTCAAACCTCAACTACAATTGAAAGTTGTTATTTTATTGCCCTATAAGGTATCTTACCATTCTCGATGGGTATTGAGGATGGTTCGATGTGCTTTATTGGATGTGGAAACATGCCTGTCTTTGCTAATCATTTCAGAGGTCCAGTTTTCCTCTCACGGGACAGTCTTGAGTAGGAGGAACGCTGTCGCTGTAATATGCGTAGCTTGTGTGTACTTTTTGTAGTCTGTGTGTGATCAAAGGGCACGGAAGTGGCTGCGCTTTCACATCCCCTTTCTTTACTTAGCTCGGACCTTACATACCAGTACATGCTCCCCTGTAAGCAGCTGAACTCGCTGGCCACTTCTCCTTTTGCCTATAGACAAAGACTGTGTGTGTGTGTGTGTGTGTGTTTGTGGTGTGCACATTGTGTTCTTAAACTGAGACGTGGCTCTCCAGGTCTCCTGGGCTCATTCCATGGTGTGGTATGTTTATTCCACTGTCCAGAGCTATTCTCTGATGGATTTGAGCTACAGCAGTGGAAATAAATGTCCTAGAGTCACCAGGTCGCTTGGAGAAGAAGTCATTTAAGCTGCCTCGGGTTTTTGTTCCTTAAAATGTGGATATTATTTCTCCACCTAAATCACTGAGTTTACAGAGTAATAATGTGTTGCTCTGGACATTGACAGTGTTCTAGAGCCAGTAATGGGCTCCTCTGAAAGATGCTCAGTTAGAAGTGAACCCATTCATAGGATCAAAAGCCACTTGCTTTGAAATATGTAGACTTCCTCAGAATTGACGGTGCTAGAAATATCCAAGTGTTATATAACCTCTTAAAAGCAACAAAAGCTACTTTTTTCTTATCACCTAATAGAAGAACCTGTCCCTAGAGGCGACTTGATTACCACATATCTGGAGTCTCTGAACTCTTAATAGGATGCAGCCTCACATACATAATAACACCCATTTTATGTTGATGAAAACATTACAGGTTTTCATTATTGGGTATGTGTTGATGTGCGCAGACAGCACTTGGGCCCATTAGGTTTTAGCATCTGGTCTTAGAGCATGTGTGTTCATCTCAATGTGAATACTTCAGCCAGTCTTATGAATAGGAGGCCATGCCTGGGCACAGAATAGGTTAGAACACTCGTACAAGATGACCACATATAGAAGCGGAAAGCCCCAAATCCCCTGGGAACTGGTTTTTCTCTAGTAGCTGAATATAAGGAAATATGTCTAATGGACACCAGTTAATACTTTTTAAAACTACTCTTAAAAAAAAAATGTTCCCCTTGGTTAACTGATTTTTCAATCCAGGATGGACATTTTTTCAACCTTTATTAAAAGGACAAATAAACTATTTTGAAGATCAGACTCCTACCTAACTGGAAGAGAAATGTCTATTAAATGTCTCTCCTCTTTCTCCGGGTCAAGACCATGTAATTTTATGCTTCAGAGATGAGGATATAGTTTGTTTACAAAGAGTTTAGTCTTTAAGACATCCAAAACTCTATGCTAGAGCAAAAATCAAATAGCAAAGGACACTGGCCAGAAAATACGATGTATGTGTGTGTGCACCTGTGTGCCTGCTGAATAACTTGACAGTATAACAGATAAGGTAACAGAAGATGGTGGCTATTTGAATTGTATTAGCTTAATGTCTGCATATCTTTGGCCAAAACTCTATTGTCATATTAGAAACATGTTATCTTCTCCATGTTTATTAGTTTATTTTTTATTGTTTTCTTTTTCATCCAACTAAAACAACTGTAATGTACTTGATACATTTACATCAAGTTCTAAAGTATTTAGACAAATCCAAATACTTTGTTTTTAGTTTTTTCCTCCTTTCCATCCAGTTAACCACAGTGAAATGCTGCAGTATTTTGATTTGGTCAGTGCTCCAGAGGAAGACCATGAAAGCTGAAATGTCTGTGCCACCCAGAGTAAACCTCTTTTCTTCTGGAAAGAGGGCGTGATGTTTTTCAAGGATTCTAACAAATATCTCGCAGTCATCTCCTGAGCACCTTTCCTCTATTTCACTTCCGAACTCCTTCCCCCACTTTCTTCACTCCAGTTTCTTCACTTGCAGTGTTTTCTGCTAAGAAAGACCTATGATCTTGTATCTGCTTATGCCTCTATTCTTTGGGGCCTCTGGATGTTTTTGTGGATTTTTACAGAGTATTTATATCTGCACAGCATGTATTTTGTTATACATTCTTATACGCATTGATATTGGGGGGGTACATTTGTAATAGTAAGAATATCTGGCAGAGTATGTGAATGCCATATCTGTAGATGAGGATGAACATGAAGGGTTAATGTAGAAATGTTTGTTTATTCTGTTACAGCCCAAAATGGGGGCTGAGAGTCTGTACCACCATTCCCTTGTCTATTTGAGAATCTGTACCACCATTCCCGTCTCTATTTGGGAAACAATACTTTTCTTATTTTGCTATTTTTACCTTCCCATTAACTGGCTTCACTCAACAGTGCCAGATACCTATGGAGAGGGGAAGTAAAACACCTTAGGTCAGGAATAATTATAAACCAATGAGTTAGCTCAGGGCTGATGGACATGTTCACTGGTGGACCAATTGGCATTGACCTAAGCAGACAGAAATGCACCACACGGAGGAGAACCACATTGAAATCAAGATCCTATGTCTATTGTATTTTGTTTTTCTTTGCCTGGAGTAAATAGCATTATAAGTCATTCCACCCTTATTAGATAACCAAAGCATTTTGGTCTCAATAGCTTTCTTCTGAAAAATTTGAATCTTACGTGTGGCAGTTCACTCTTAAGGTTGAAAGAACTGTCAATATAGATAAAATCCATTCCTTAGTATTGATTGGCGTGACATTTGAAAATATGTCTAAACAATATTTGTAAGTAAAAGAACTAGTCATAAGCTTCGGATGTGTTCAGCATGTACCAAGCTGGAATGGGAGACTGGCCCCTCTTGGCTTTGTAGCATGTTGTCTTTTTCCAGCAGCTTCCTCCTAGTAGACATTCCAGGGATGAGAGGGGCAGGGATCATGTCTTATTTCTGTATCGCCAGCCCCTGGCATATGGTCTGGCTTATGTTATGTGAACAAATGAATGCTTGCCAAGATCTCTTCTTCCCTCACGTTTCTGGAAAACCTGAAGGTTCCTGATACCTGTTCCCACTCTATCAGCTGGTTAGCAAGAAAGCAAATAAGGGGAAACATTCCTCACATTCCAAGCAAGAGAAGGAAGAAGGACCATTGGGAGGAAGTACACCAGCGATTGCTCAGTGTGCAGCCTGCTACCTCGCCTTTGGTTCTCTGGATTGCCTGCTGGTAGAAGGGAAGAGCATTATGTAGTTAGCACCTTGCATATTTGATGCTCAGGAAGAAAGTGCAAGGAGATCCCTAATAGAACATTAAAGATTCTTAAAAGGTTCTGAAGTAGGCTGCCTGGGGTGACCAGCCCCCCCGCCCCTTACATCTCTCCATAGCTGGTACAGTTAGCTTGCAGCAGGTGAAGCTGATGCCTGGAGATCACTGTCTGTCGGTCTGATCTCAGTATCATACTGAGGCACCTCCCCTGAGCCTTAACTACTTAAATTACTAACCGTCCTACCAAAATTCGTCAATTTTAATCAAATGAGGCAAGTTGCAAGGGAGCCAGAGATATGTGAAAAAAGAAAAGCAGAAATCCTAATACTTTCTAAGAAAGAAGTTGTAATAATTTCTTTGGCACATTGACTTACTGATACCTTTTGAAATGCATAGACGACTCTTGTGAACCAAAGAAAGCAGCAGTGGTTATTCCCCGGCGCAATAAAAATGCCTTTGTGTATCACTTGCGATTGCCAGTCATTTCTGTGCCAGTTGCTTTCATTCCAGAGAATGGCCTCAGTCTCCAAAAAAAGACTATGATTTTTAGAAGTAGGATTTCCTAACAAATTATGTGGTGGGGAGGGACGGTGGGGATTTTATTCATCCCGTCTGATCTCTTCATTCAGTACTACCATTAGGTTTTAAGAACAAAGATGGGGGAGGAGGGAGTAGAAAGCTGAGAGTATGTAGAACAGCTACAAGACATTAGTGGGTATTCAGATTTTGAGCTGTGTAAATATCAAACATCGGCTTCCAGCCTTAAGAGTTATTTGAGCAGAGAGTTAAGGAGAAATGGGAGATTTTGTGAATAAAATGTTTTGCCAAACTGAATGAGTCTTTTTGCCATTATTTCTCATAGAGTGCCATTTTTTACCTTCTGAAACAACTCATCAGACATCTGGGGTTTATCTTGAATTGTACCATCATTGTTTCTTAATAAAAGTGATACATTTCTTGCAGGTGTTTCCAATCACCATTACCTTTGAAGTGCCTGTATGCAGTTTCAAAAGCTCTCCAATTTTTACCTTGTAAAGTGGCAGTGGCATATTTTACTACAAACGATTGTCAGCAACCTGTCTTCCTAATTCCTCGCAGCTGGATCAGTAATAAACCACTTCTCAGGCCGGTTGCCGCGTCAGAAGTTAAAGAGGATCAGCCTACTTTTGGAAGTTTTAGAGGTTTGTGGCAGTACATTCTGTAGCAAATCTCTCAAAACCTCTTTGCCTTGCTAGAAATACATTGACGTTTGTAAGCTGCAGTGACCAGCTCTCTTTGTCTTTGAAATGTTGCTTTTAAATAAACTTCAACTGGAAAGCAACTCTTCAAAGCAGTTTACCACACCCAGCCTATTTTTAATCATGGTATGCAGTAGCCCCCAGGTACAGAACACAAAAAGAAGAACAAATGAGAAATTTCGCACTAAATATAGCATAGTTACAATTCATCTCTTTAAAAATGGCATTACTCTTTTATCGGGACAGGGCTGGATGTTCTTAAACAGCCCTGGGCCTGTCATTACACGCAGGAATGGTCTCACTGCTTCTGAAGCCCTTTCACTCTCAAGTCATTAAGGCCTTAGAGTGTGTTGAACTCTAAGATGTTATGAACCACAAGCCTACAAAAAGGTAAAGAACCTTCTGGGGGACAAAATTGTGGTTTAGTTCAACTCTAGCAAATTGTATCATCTCGTTAGTGGAGGAGACTTCTACACAGAACTCTGATTCTGGGGCTAGCAGCAAAACACAATTGCAGACAATGCAGTGGCAGAGATGTCCCTCATTAATAAAGGCTCCAAGCACATAGGTGAGTGTCAGCAAAGATCCAGTTTCTTTGTCCCGTCTTACATTCAGCATTTCAGCAGTACATTAATTCATTCTCACGCTGCTACTAAAGAGATACCCAAGCCTGGGTAATTTATAAAGGAGAAAGGTTTAACTGACTCACTGTTTTGCATGGCTGAACAGGCCTCAGGAAACTTACAATCATGGTGGAAGGGGAAGCAAACACATCCTTTTTCACATGGCAACAGGAAGGAGAAGTACAAGCAGAGGAAATACCAGACACTTATAAAACCATCAGATCTCGTGAGAACTCACTATCATGAGACCAGCATTGGGGAAACCACCATGATTCAATTATCTCCACCTGGTCCCGCACTTGACACGTGAGGATTATTACAATTCAAAATGAGATTTGGGTGGGGACACAGCCGAACCATATCAGGCAGCCATAAGAAATGAATACATATCAATGAGTTGAATATGTGTTTATGTCAAAATTTCGCTTTAAAAGGAAAAACAAAGCACATCTGGCTATGCAAGTGTTTGTTAATAGAACTTTTCAGTAATGTTCTTTATCTGCAAATTAAAATCATGTCATTAAAATTATTTTATCATCTGATTGTTTCTTAATCAGCACTTCAAGGAATTAGCATATGGCTCCATTTTTACATGTGACTCCATGATGTACGGATGCATTCTAAAGACAAGGGGGCTTATGATTATGATTACTGGAGTTTCGTTATTTCCTGTAATAGCTTTGAATGAAGTTTACTGCATGAAACAGTCCTTTCAAGAAGGCCATAAATCTGTATCGATTTCCCAGAATCTTTAGCATTGTTAAAATAATAGGTTCCATTCCAGCAATTAAATGGAGTGACATAGTAATAATAGTAAACATATATTTACTACGTGCAAGGCACTTATATCAATTTATTTCGTCCTCATGAAAAATCGTTGACAAGAAAATTATCCTGATTTTACAGATAAGGAATCTGAGGCTCAGATGAGCTTCCTAACTTGCCTCAATTACTCTTATATTTTGGAGCTGGGATTTGAGCCCGTGAAATCTGATTTCAGAATGCATACTGTTAAATCCCTGCATTATGCCACCTCAAAAATCTCAGTAATGGGACTACAGTCTCCCTTTGCCCTGTGTGTCCCTGCATGGTGTAGATTTTTATATGCTAAATGTCATCGATCAGTCTTGAGTCGTTATCATGTCATCATGTGTTTGAATTCATGTCCTGTTTCCTCTCTGAGAACTTATGATCTGTTCTATAGTACAAGTGTAGTAGTCTGTTTTCACACTGCTGTAAAGAACTACCTGAGACTGGGTAAATTTATGAAGGAAAGAGGTTTCATTGACCTTCCACTGGCTTAACAGGCTTAATAGGAAGCATGGACTGGGAGACCTCAGGAAACTTACAATCATGGCAGAAGGCGAAGGGGAAGCAAGCACCTTCTTCACATGGTGGCAGGAGAAAGAGGGAAGGGGAAGTGCCACACACTTTAAACCATCAGATCACGTGAGAACTCACTCACTATCATGAGAACATGAAGGAGGAAATCTGCCCCCATGATCTAATCCCCCCACCAGGTCCCTCCCCTGACATATGGGAATTACAGTTGAACATGCGATTGGGTGGGAACACATTGCCAAGCCGTATCGACCAGCAAGAAGAAAATAAAACCCAGGAAGTTAGCAGCAAAACAGGACTCTGAAACCATTCCGCTTCTCACATGTTCACATCAAAATGTACCCATTTTCTCTGGTATCTGTAGCATATGACTTTCAGGTTAATCAGCAATAATTAATATACAGAATAGAAAAAGGTAATTAAATCCAAATATCAATGAATGCTACTTAAGTAGGTATAATTTACAGAATATTTAATATATATATTAATTGGTCTTTCAGTTTCTCTAAGTTCTGTCCCAGAAAACATTTAAATTCTATTATCTCACCTACCTGGATAAATGTCATCCCTGAATTATCCTTTGATAATAAACCTTCAACCATTATACAAGGATCATTACAAGAGTTTTCATTTTCAGTGATTCAGTAGCTTTGACACAAATGGAGTTTAATACTTTAGCCATTATCCACCGGATCGCCTAATATCCCCCACTCAAAAAAGGATCCATGTTATATTATGGCTCAATTTTTAGTTCTAGAAAACTTTTGTCTCTACAGATGTGTTTGCATGCGTAATTTTGTCAGAAAATGAAAACCAGCAGTCATCTCTTTTATACAGATTTTATCAGGATTATGTTTAATTGCATGTAATGGAAACTCAAACCAGTGACTTAATCTGATGGTTTATTTTTCACAGGAGATAGGCACATTGGGGCTGGGTCAGTCATTCAAGGAAGTTGTCAAGGAAAACAAGTGGAAGCTGCTATAAAATGGCACATCTGATCCGCCCGTCTTGGCCTCCCAAAGTGCTGAGATCCGGCCACTGCATTCTAGCCTGGGCGACAGAGCGGGACTCCGTCTAAAAAAAAAAAAGGCACATCTGCAAAAGCCCACTTGCCAGAGGAACAATGCGATGCCTTCTGCTTCACTTCCGCCTTCCACCCATCAAGTACCTGTCATTACAGGAATCCCAGAAAGCTGCCAGCAAAGATTGTGGGAAATGTAGATTCCAAGACTCCCAGCCCCTCTGGTACAGGGGAGAAATGAATGGGGAAATACGGCTGACTTGGCCACTCGCTATCCAGCACAGTCCACCCCTGTGGTGGACTATTCAACAATAATGTTTAACTTCCAGACAGAAAAATGAGAGCAACAACAGCATGCTTGTAATATGATGTGACTATCCCTCCTGCAAATGAACATGCTATCATTCTTTCCCAAAATGGAGACTCAAAGTCCCTTCCTGCCTACACTGGTGATAGTGTTCATTAACTTTTACCACTGGACATGCAAGTACTAAGAAAGGTACACAGGGAATGCCTTGAGTTTCACATATTCCTTATCTGCATGATGTAGCAGGAACTCTGTTTCCCCTTGATAACCAGGATCAATTCCCCCAGCAACTGTAGTCATCGTCTTTCTTGCCTACTGCTTCAGTGGCATAAAAAGGCAAATGTGACCGGGTGGCAGTCTCAACTCTCTCCTCAACTAAACCTTTGTTATACTCCTTGGTGACAGTGTTCCTCCCTTGAGAACTAAAACTTCTAGACCAGCAGCTCTTGAAGTTGTGGGGATCAGAAATAAAAATTTCGCAAGGGGTTATTATGGATAACAATGAGAAGCCATTCATTTCTATCTCCTAACTCTTGGACCTGGGGTTTCTTGTGGGTGAAAAGGTGCCATATTGAACTGGTTGCAGTTTAAGCATACACTGTAACTTGTAGGACAGCAAGTTTTCATTAATCATACAATCAGCCTCCATGGAGACTCAACCAAGTAAACCAGGATGTGTCAACTTACCTAGATCATCCTTTTCCAATGGCCAGACAAGCAACGAGGTCTCAGGTGTTCATTACTGGTTTAAAACAACTTGAGTGGCATAAAGAGATTTGGCTGAGCTTAATCTGTCTGTGATGTCTTCCTTAAACATTGCTTAAACACATGCAAATGGAACACACTCACATTTACAGTATTTCTGCTGTGAATCCTGAAAGCTACATTCTTTCTTTTTATTCTGAAGGCTTCTCAGCTCCCCCAATCCCCTACACCTCTTTCTTTCATGGGCTCATTTTAAATGTGTTAAATCCAGGAAAAGATTTCATTAAAAGGAGAAAAACAGGTGGGAAAGAAAGAGATGAAAACACTCTTTGACAGTTCACTTCTGTTTTGCAGCTGTGAGAGCTGTAGATTGAATTGTGTTACCCCCCCTCACCAAGCTAATTAATTCTCTTTTTTGAAAAAGCCACGTCTCCTTCCTTCAATCAGTGTCAACAGCCAATTACAATCTTTCATCACCCAAAGTGTAATAACGCAAATGTTATCAAGAAAGAAAACAGTTGGACTGACAAGATTAGCAATTCACTCCTTCTTTCTTAATCTTGTAATCACATGGTATACAGCAGTTTACAATAATA